ACCTCGAAGAAATATGTCTCTGTCATGCACTTAATATTTACTTTACTGAAAACAACAAATGGTTTTCATTGTTCTATTTCTTTACAAGTCTCAAACTCTCAAATGGATATTTTGCTTTTCTACATTAAATTTGAATAAGTTAGAGAGCGTCACTGTGCTTACAATAAATTTGGATGTTCACAGTTCAGTGCACATCTAACTGAAAATAGTCTAGGAATATATTCAGACTTCAGCGGACTCTCTCATCTTTCTGTGGTAAATATCAACCACTGCAGCCATCAGTATCCACCCTGTAATCTTATTAAAATTGACTAAAATGACACCATTATGACTGCGGGAGCCCCAAGTCCATTTCGGTTGAGGAGAATTGCCATGAAGCAGCAAGCGTTTAGAATCAAAGCTACGCATTATCTCTAATTGAACCAAGTCCAGTTTTTCAGTTCAGCTCTTCTAAAGCAGGAATTTTCTCACTGATAGATTCTCTAAAATATTTCCTTCTTTGTTCTGTAGCTGTTCCAGTAGATGTTTTCTTCTTAAATTAAGTTCCGAGAGATCAGAGGTCAGCTGTGACTCAGTGCTAATAGAGCCAATCTTTTCATCTTGTAGCAATCCTTAATGGGTGTTTCTCATAATTCTGAAACGTATAGGTTATATTTTAAATAGCCCATTGGGATTCAGATGATGAAATCACATAGCATAAAAAATCCAAATATTATTCATATCACATGCTCAGTGAGAAATATCTTTAATTGCTTCAACCTGAATCTAAGAATAGGAAGTAAAGGGATTTTGTAATGGGTAGAACTTTACAAATATCTGAATTAATGCAAATTTTCTAAGGAAACCAATCCATATTAATGCAACAATCACATCAGTTAGACTTAGAGGAAATGGAGCTGCACAGTATGCACCGCTAGTTCAGCTGGAGGCCAACCACTCATCCCACCCACACATAACCGTAATGTCACAGATGGCGGGGGCCTCTGTGGGAACTTGAATTATGTCACTGGGGACATAATTCATGTCCCCACAGATGACTTGAATTATTCTTTGCATATTTTGGAACCTATGTCACACAGTGACTAATGACAACCTAGTAGCTATTTCTGTTGTTCGTCTTCAAACACAACAGCATATTCACAGTGCCTAATATTCAATACTTAATTTGACGCCCCAATGCTCCTAACTGTTGCCGCGAGGAGCATTCGTGTGACTCTGGTCCAAATTTACTCTTTGTTACAGAGGCCATTTTGAAAGTGAATGGTAAGATGTTTTGAACCACAAATGAAGTTTCCATTGAAATATGGGTTGTGATTTCTACATGCACAGATCGTCCACCGGGCGGCAGCTGCTGCCGACGCAACTGTCTGTGCTGGAGGGAAACAAATGTGGCTGACTGGTTTTAGATAGGTAATTAATTGCTGTTTGTGGTACTTGTCATCCTGTTAAACAGCTGCATGGCTTTAGCTCTCCATCCTTAGGTTATTTTGACTTGGAGCTGACTTGGATGTTAATAAGCTCCTGATAAACACCCACTGCCCCCATATACACACTCTCTTAACAAACTGACTTACGTGCCACTTGGGTTTTCCTGTCAGTGGAAAGTTTGGTACACTGATCCATAATCACATGTTTTTATTGTAGCAGATTTAGATGCTATGTGAAACTATTTAATTCACACACAACCATTTTCAATCAGTTTCTCTTTTTATCAATCCTCCTATGGATTTATAGAACCTGAAAAAGATTTTATATATCACTCAAATGCATGATTTCTTTACCATAAATCAAATTAATTACAGATGATCACATATATTTATTTTTAACACTATTCTAACTCATAACCCAAACCTTTCATGTTGCATCAACCAAACTAAATTCCCAGAAACACAGCAGTTTATCACCATGCAGAAATACAACAGTTTCTATATTTTAAGAGAATTACTCTTATGTAAGGTTTTTAATGGCTTCAACAAAAACAAACAAAAGAACAAACAAAAAAAGCCCTTTATATTAGTCTGACAAAGCTCACATTTTGCATTGCTTTGTCACTGACTTAACTGAGGAATTAATCATCAGGATAATAACAAATTGTCCACAATCGAAATTCATTTGAGCATCACCCCTTCCTTCATTGTGCTCTATCAGAAGAGTGACCAAGCAATCAAAGCAGAAGTATGTATCAGTGCTACATTATGGCTAGTATTAGTGGTGTGATATCACTCATATGCTGCTTAACAAATGCCTTTCCAGGTGAATGATAGTTGAAATTAAGTATGCAGATTACCTCGTATAGATTTCAGATAATACTTTGGCCACGGAGACGTACGGAAATCTTGATCTCAGTTTCTTAGCGTGGGCCTCTCATTGTCAGAGTCTGACTCATTATAATTAGTTAAAATAAAATTGCTTGGCTGCACATTCTAAAAGAGCCTCAAGCATGAGCTGGCCCTTATCACAAAATCCACTGCTCACAGTTGGATGGTGATTAAGCAGTTTTATCTTCGAGCAAGCGGGATGTGGTAAACACACTTGAAAAGCGATTTTACAAGAAACAATACAAGAGATGTGACGTTTCTCAAAAAAAAAAAGTCCCACCTGAAAGAGTACACTTAAAAGAGAAGGATTGAATTTATGATGCTTTCCAAAATCTTTATACAGAAAACAATTTTGACTATGTCTATCATCAAGAGACCAAAGATTTTCTTCGTGCTGTTACCCGGCCCCTGTGAAACCAAAAGATCCCTTTCCTCTAAGGCGAAGCACAATGTAAATCTCATCAACTCCTCTCCTACAAGACCCTTAAAATATCCTTCACAGACCTTTTATATTAGCCAACCTCCCATCCAATGATGTTGGCAACCTGAATCTAGCCACCAACAGCATGCAATGTTTTTAACCAGAACTCAAAGCCTTGCACACTGGCCGACTTTTCTGGGTCAACAAAATTACTGCTGAAGCTGGAAGCTACCTTTTCCTCCAGCCGAGAGGAATGGAGGTACAGGATCACAAGATCAGAAAATAAATTGGTATGGAGAAAACCAGCACCCATTCAACTGTGGCATTTGAGACTAAGAAACGGCTTGGCCGTATAATTTGACACTTTTAATTATTTTTCTCTTTTCTTTGTGTCCCAAACTCTAAACTGATATTAGATATTATAATTTTAGCCTGTGAAACACTTTCCTTTATGCCCCAGAAGAAGCCAGGAAAACTTTAGATAAAAGTTTAAGCCAGTTAACTTGTTCTTTACTGTAAATAATGCAATCTTGTCTTTTTATTTTGTCTAATACAACCCCATTCTGAGTCCAAGCAATGACAGCTACATCTTAATCTTTAAATAAGATTTTTCAAAGAAATTTTCTGCTCCAAGCCAATTGAAAAGTGAAAAGATGCCTACTTGATTGTATAAATAGAGGTCTGAATGTGATTTAAAGGTGTTCTGGGTTGATGACATGGCCTACCTTAGCTTACACTTCAGCATCCTTGGCTTGTATAAAATATGATATGACATAAGCGGATGTGTAGAAGACCATACAAACCAGGATAGTCTTTAGAGATGAAATGTTTATGTAATCTGAATCTTGTTGCACACGTTTCAGCAGCCTTAGTTCACAGGACAGTTTTAACCTTGGTTAAAAGATTAATTTAGGAGCCGCTTTTCAAAATCTGACTGGCTTAAATAGCTTCTCTTCCTCTGGAAGTAAGTGCTGATGTTAAAACAGGACTGATGGTGATCATAAAATGGTTTTGGTCTATGTTCTTTTTGTCCTCTTTGGAGGATGTAGAGGACAGACCCACAGCTTTTAATTAAATTGATACATTTTAATCTGATGGGGGGGACAAACACAATAAAATAGACATTTCTTCTTTTGTGACCTTTGAACACTGTCATAGCAAATCATGAAATATAATTAAGGCACAAAGGTAGAGATTTATGTGTTTTAAAATAATCTCATTCTGAATATGATAGATTGTTTTGAGTAATTTTCTTTGCAAACACAAAGTTTTATAATATCTCTGTAGTGAACCCCATACCAACTAGTTTTATGAGCAGAAAAAAAGTTTTTCCTCCATCTCACGTTTTTGAAGATGTGTAACCCAGTTCATTGCCCTGAACAATATAAGCTTATCCTTCCTGCTGTTAGCCTCAGTTTGAATAATTGATATGCAGCAATAAATAGAAACGGCATGTCTGGCAGCAGAAAATTGGCACTTGAGAAATGGGCGATTCATCTTTTTCGCAAACCAACACGTTAAAAAATAAAATCAGGAGCCCTAATCATTCTGTGCTATGCCTGTCATTTGTCTTTGCTGTCTTTGCAATCGTTCACTCAGCACTCTGAAGGTAGGCTGCTTTCAACTGCACTTCATATATCTGGAGATATCTGGAACCACAAAGTGCCCAGTTACAACTGTCGTTTAGGTTTGTGCAGATACTTACCCTATTTCTTGCTTGGCCAAACAGCTTTGTTAAAACTACTGCTTCTACAGCAGAAGCAGTAACATCTATTAAAGTTTGATCTTTAAAATAAAAGAACTTTCTTGTGTAGATATGACCAATCCTCATGACCCATCTTGTCAGTTAAATTACATAATGCATTGCATCACAGATGTGCTCCTCATTTCACTTTAAGCTAAAGTTGTTATAGGTTTTAATAAAACGACATTGTAAAAATAGGTTGACTCTCCATGCAGTTTAACTTACGTTTACCTCAATTAAACTGGTAAACACACACAAAAAAATTATATATTTAATTATACATGGCTCATCTAAATATATTTCTTAAAAGAATCAAATAGTACATCAGACTAATGGCAAAAAATTAATTCCAAAACATGGACTTGATTTGAAAAATAAAAGGATATTTAATACTTACAAACAAGTCTCACCATAATGCATATTCTAATTTATTTAATAGAACTGTACCTCTGTCACCAAACTTCAAGTCTTTGAAAGTTTAATGCTGTTGGTTGTGTCTTTTCATGCTGTTTTTCAGGGACTGAGCAGCCTTAGTGATGAAGTTTAACTTGTTCAAGCAAGAAACAACGCCTATGGTCGCAGCAAAACCAACGGGGGCCAGTGACTCGACTGTTACTCCAGCCCCCGTGGGATTAGTCTCCGCTGGAAACGCCACGGAGCCAGTCAACAAGAACGATGCCTTTGATGAGATCAAAAACAAGTTCCTGAATGAAATCGACAAGATCCCACGTGAGTGCCAGGCAAAACCCAAAACTCTTATTGACGTGGCTCTCAAGAATTATTTTGGAATTAGATTTTCTCTTTTGCTGCAGGCATCATCAGTCCTATAATGTCTTTATTTGATATTGATCACTGGCTGCTCTTCCTAATGGCAGGGAAATCTAATTTTCATCCAATCTAATTGCTAACCTTCCACCTCTTACTAAATCTATGTTGCCTGGGGCATGACATGAAGCAGCCTAAATGATCACTTGGTCGGACTTCAGATTATGTGCTTCTCATTTTGTTTCTGAATGGGGCTGTTCCGTCTTTGAACTGGTCTGTGTGTTTTCCTCAGTGCCATCCTGGGCCATCATTGCCATTGCCGTGGTCGCTGCTTTACTGATTCTAACGTGTTGCTTCTGCATCATCAAGAAATGCTGTTGCAAGAAGAAGAAGAACAAGAAGGGCAAGAAAGGGAAGGGTGACATGGGAATGAAGAACTTAAAAGGAGAGGTATGTTTCACTGACAGGTTGCGTCACAGCTGAGAAAATCTATATTGTTACTCCACAAATAACTGACCCATTCGTGACCCTATTAGCTAATGTCTGTTGGGTTTAATGTGAGATACTGTGGTGGAATAAAGTTTAAAAAAAAGATGAGTCATCCACTTTAGTGTACTTTCGTAGCACAAAGATATTATTTTTCTTCTTAAAGTTATTTAGATTACTGATTAGAAATGAACAAAGTTGTATACTGAGTTGATGTCTTTCTAACCTGGTCAAAATTTTTTCACAGATTTTGATTGCACTGTTTGTCAATCATAATTATTTGTTTCATTTTCTCTTTCTTTCTCTGTTATTCAATGTATTTGTCTTAAATGTTATCGTTGCTCTTTCATTCATGTGGGCTTTGGGGTTTGAGTAAAAAATGACAGGGTCCTTGGTTGCACAACCTCTGTGATGACTACTTCTCTTACATCCAATTATGAGTCGTTATCAAAAATTACTAGCTTGCAATAAAAGTTGCTTTAGGACATAAAAATTCAATTGTGTGCTGATATGAATTCAACATGGTAAAAATACAAGTATTATAAAACAAAAAAGCAGGCAACTGCGCCCTTAAGGAGGCTTTTCCATCTGTCATTTTCCTCACTCCCTGCAGAGCAGCTTACTGCATTTGCTGTGATTACCCTTCTTTGGTGTCTGCTGTGAGTTCAATCTCTTCCTTTGTCTCTGCTCTCCTCCTTCCTGCTTTGTGTCTTATGTGTGCTCCGTGTATCTTGACTGTGGTGGACTTCTCTGTCTACGGTAGGTCTGACAGCACACGGCACCCCTCTCTGGCTGCTCTGTGTAAGCACAGACCAGGGCAGGGCGGCGGCGGTGCTGGAGGGGGGTGGAAGGGTTGGGCTGGGCTGGGCTTGGAGGGGTTGGATTGCAGTGATGATGACAATGATTGCATTGGCTTCCCTAGTTTTTTGCAAGTTTTGGTGCTGCAGGTGCTTGAGGACTCGATGGGATCTATTAAACTGCTTTGCAGAATCCACTAAACTGTTATGCTGCACCAACTGCCATGTCTTGACAATCCAGAGATTGCAGTTTTGTTTTGCTTTTTTGCAAAAATAAGTGGAAAAGAATATATATATGGTTTGAAGTGAACATGAAACTCATCCTATGGTTAAGCCTTTGAATGTTGAGCGCACTGAGCAACTCACTAGAGATCACTAACATGCATGTGCAAGGGTTAAGCTGGGTATTTGTCAAATGTCAGCTGGAACTTTATTAACCTAAAAGCTCAAAGCAAGCTTCTGCTATGACAGGAGTCAATTGCTGAGCACAATCACAACTGGTGTCTCACCAACTATTTATTCCTCTGTATTTTGACTCAGGTATAAAATTTATTCCATTACCTGGTTGTACAAGTAAGCTCCTTGTTTTACAACAGATGAATAGACTGCATCTCTTGACAAAGACCAGCATATGCCCTTGCAGTAGGTTACCATTGAATGGCCACAACTTGACTTGAGAGTAACTTTCCTGGATGACCCATGCTGCTGACATACTAGGTGAAAGTCATTGATGCCCCCTCTTCCCTAAAGCCCTTGGGTCTCACTGAAGAGATATGGTGACCCTGAATGGATGCCTAGATAAGCAATAAATAGAGGCCTGAAACATCTCAGTCCAAAATCAACTGCCTGTTTCCATGGATAATTTATTTACTAACCCTAAAACTGTGTTACTCTGATGTTACTCAGCAAAAGGCATTCATCCAGGTACAGTATCTGCATCTCTGAGCTCCTACAGGAAGTATGACGAGAAACTAAACTTATGCATATAGCATGATACCTTCATGGATTTGTACATTATATTTAGGACATATACGTGGATAAATTTTTGGACCTTACAAAAATTTGTGACTTTTTTTTTTCAATGCTTATTGCCTCTCAGATTTATAGAAAACATCTACACTTATCTTCAGAAATAAAGTTGAATCCTGCATTGTGTGGCCTGGCATGCTTGAATGAAAGCCATTCGCACAACATAGCCACAGAATACAACATAAACGGACGCAGAGTGAGAATGTGCGTGTGTGTGAGAGAGTGTCAAGCATGCTTGAGAGTCTGCATGTCAGTAAAATGTAGGTGTCCCGTGTGTTCAGCTGATTTTCTCCAGCTGAAAGAAACAGAGCTGAAGTTACCAACTTTGGACCTAAAGAGGAACGATCAAGAATCGGCACACATCTTCAGTTATTAGGACTAATGTCTCACCATGATCTAAAGAAACTCACCCATGCGTTTAACTACAGTCACATTAATTACTGCAACAGTCCTTCTACTGGCTCCCTGTAGCGCAGAGAAAAGATTTTTAAATCCTTTTGTTAATTTATCATTCATTGAATGGATTAGCACCTAAATACAACAACAACAACATAAACCTGTTGTTGTTGTATCAATCTTCCAGTCCACTCAGGTCGTTTGGTCTGCTCTGAATTCCCCGAATCAGAAGCAGACATGGACAAGTACCGTTATGTTTTTATGTTCCTCTGATCTGGAACAAACTTCCAGAAACTGCAAAACTGCCAAAACACTGAGTGCCTTTAAATTATGACTAAAACCCACCAGGTTAGAGTCATCTAGGGATCATTGATCAATATATTTTTATAAATTTATATACAAATAAATTTTTTGTATTTTTTTCATGATTTTGATGGTTGCGTGTGGAAAATGTAACTTTTCTTGCTTGTTTCATAATTGGTTGCTGTACTGTGTTTTTATGGTGTAAAGCACTTTGAACTGCCCTTTTGCTGAAATATGCTCTATAAATAAACTTGACTTGACTTGACTTGACTTGTGATAAGTTCTGCATTGAATGTGTTCATTGTGTATTTGTGACTGTGTGTCATGTTCTTCTGGCTAATCAGTGAGTAGTGGAGTCTCTAGTCTCATGAAGACTTTGTCAAAAATAGTCATACACCAATTTGCCATAAAAACATTGCATCATGTATGCTACATAAATTTATTTCTTTAAAATATAGTGAGATTTTCCCACCTGAATGATTGAGATTATTATGAGAACATTATTGTAGCAAAGCTACTCAATACACGCCAATCAGAACTCTTAATTTGACAAAAGCCTGCTGGTTCAATTTGTTTCTATTGTTGTCAAAAGTTATTGTGCTTACATAATCCTCATGAAGTGAACCTTTTTACCTCTAGAGTCTGACAAGACAAAATTAAAGATGCAAGCAAGCTTTATGTTACTTTAAAAATCACATTGTTATTTGACACTGTTGATATAAAAAAGGAAAAGCACAGTTTTACAGGTCTTTGCAATTTATTCTTGTAAAAACCAATTAGGCCAGAGATCATTTTGTGTATAACATCATAGTGTGTTTGAGGCTCTGGGGATGAAGCATTCATTTGTTTTCCAACTAAAAGATGAAAGGTTATATCCTCAGTCGCTCTTTGTGTCTTTTCATTGCATTCAAATGATCGCCCACTCGCTGTTACACCTTGCTCTTTGTTTTGCAATGTATTATATTCAGCAACTCTCAAAATTGTAACATATGGCATAGTCTGTTAAAAAGATGTTTGATATATACAAGTTAAAGTCTGATAAACCATTTCAAAGCTATTTCCTCATAAATTTGGCATAGTTGTGTACTGTACAATTAAACTGAAAACCAAACACCTTTATTTCAGAACAAAACCTACATATAAAAACATGTCCATAAAAACAGGGATAAGTAAATATTTTGAATACTCACTAAAACCACTTGATTTTACAAGTTTAATAAAAAAAAGATAATTCTCCAAAATAAGTTTTTTTTTATAAGCCCATGATAAATTAACATTTAAGTTTACTCAGTTGTGATTAGTGAAACAGTATGCTCAATTCACAGCTTGGTATTTATTCATGAGTTCAACATCTGCGTGTTAAGCTCATGGATTGGAAAATGTTTAAAAAAAAACAGAAAGTAAAATGTGTCAAAATTCTAATCATTAGTCCCATTTCGATGGAGTGGTAGAGCACAGGTTTGTGTGGTTCGATACATTATTTTGTCTCTTTCCATTGTACCCCATAAAACCAGTCTTGGGCCCAGTTGTACAGAATAGTTCCTATTCTATACAATTTGGTACAGGAAAGGTGAAGCTACTGCCGTCACACAACACAGTCCACTGATTGAAAGACAGAAAAACATAACTGCTTGTGAGGACAAGCTTGAAACATGCTAGTGCATCACGTTTGTTGTTACCCTAGTATGATGTAATTTGGGTTTAGCCCCACCTCCCCAATAAGAATCCAACTGGTGGTGGAAATACTTTTCTGAATGCGCTGGACCACAAAATAGGATATTGAGCCGCACTGAGCCATGCCGTACTGCCCAGTGGAAACAATGCACATGTGTGAAAGGATATGATTAGTTTTCTGTCTATAGACCAGAGATAACCCAAAATGAAATCAGTACAAAATACATAATTAACAAAAGTTTAATACACCTGATTTGATCTCATAAAAAAGTGGATACAGAAGGAAATAACTTTTTATCAGTTTGGAGATATAAAGTAAAAATCCCACCTTTAGCTTGACTCTGTTTGGATGCTAGTTTGTGCTTGTTGGGTGCCTGATTATATGTATTTAGCTTATTAAATGACTTATAACATATTTATCAGCATATATCAACACAGTGTATGATTGTGTTACAGTATGGGTTTCAGTATATCCAGACCAGCATTAGCACTCACTGCTACTATAGAATGTTAAGTAAGTTTGATGCATCATGATCAATGTTTTATAAGAGTCTCAAACTGTTGTAAAGGACTAAATTGCTGTATTAGGTCTTTCACCATTGGTCCTCCCCTTCTATGTTGTGTTCATCAGCCTTGGGTTGTAATCAGTAGTCTTATGTCAACATTATGTAGATAAGGAAAAGTTCCTGTTTTATATTTAACATTCTCCAAACACATATGAAAAACCAAAAACAGCAAATGGTGTCACCCAGGAAATAATGAAATCAAGTCAGGTTGCAACGGTGGTCATTGATGAACAGTTTGCATTTGTAACACTGGGGTAAGTCGAAGGTAGGTGCTGTGACTAACCTGACTGCTGTGCTGACATGTAAGATTTAGTGTTCTGCTCAGCCACCCTTTCACTGCTGTCCTCTCACACTCCTCTTTGTTGCCTGTCCAACTTCTATCATTGCAGAAACCTCAGGATGATGATGATGAAGAAGATGATGTTGAGCCAGGCCTAACTGGAGATGAGAAAGAGGAAGAAGTGAAGGAGAAGGAAAAGCTTGGGAAGCTGCAGTACTCCATTGATTATGATTTCCAGGAAAACAAGGCAAACAATACTATAGATTTTTTTTGGCATTACCCACACTACATTGCAAAAGCCCTAATAACCTTTGAACCTTTCTACATTCTGTTTTATTGCAACTACATAGTTGTATTAATTTTTGCTTTTCATGTGACACATCAACATAAAACTTTATTGCAATATTGTGAAGTTGAAGGACATAATAGATTTTTAATAATATTTTCACAAATAAAAATCTGATGTATGACTTGAGACTATCTTTCAGAAGGACAACCCAAAACCTACAGGTAGAGTTACTCTGGATTTATTTATATCAAGGCATAGTGAGGAGTCAAAACTAATTCCTAACTGATGGACAGATGAACAGATGGATGGAAGAAAAAAATGCACGCCATACTTACAAATGTTGTTTCTGTGAAAAATTTAGAAAAGAAAGTCAGTTTTCCTGACATTTCACAGTAATGCACAACTTTGTGTTGGTCTCTGACAAAATTCCAAAGAGTTTTGTGTTTGTATAATAAAATACTGAAAAGCTAAAGTGCAAGACACTACTTATTTCACTTTTGTTTGATAAAAAAAGACACATTGTTTGTACTGTTTTAATGGCAATATGTCACACTCCTCAGCTAACAATAGGAATTCTACAAGCAGCTGATCTCATCTCTATGGACAGTGGAGGCACTTCAGACCCCTACGTCAGAGTCTTTGTCCTGCCTGATAAGAAGAAAAAGTTTGACACAAAAGTACATAAGAAAACACTCAACCCAGTCTTCAATGAGACATTCATTTTTAAGGTAAGCTTAAAGCGACTGGTGGCTGCCCGTCATTCATCATCACTCATTTCCTGCTCATGAATCATGCACCTCTGCTTATGTGATTGCTAAACATGTCTAGTTAAAAGTAGATAAAGTTAACTTCCCTTTCTTCCTTGTCCTGGAGCAAGATATTTGGATTCTTTCTTCTCCTACACTTTGACTTTCCCCCACAGTGATAATAAGAAGCAGACATATTGAATGTGTCTTACAAAGGAGAGTCTGAAGGGGAATCATATTAAAGGAGAGGCCCACCTCTAGTGCACCCTGTCTGCTGACAGCTCCATGCAAAACAATTCAACTGTTTTAGTAGCTTGTCAAAGTCAGACAGTCCTACTGAGGTATCTTGTATCAAGCTAAATAAATTTAACCAGTCAAAAGGTCAGATGTCATGTGTAATTTACTGTGAAGTACCAAAAAAGCTACATTTATGTACGTAGAAATGAACTACATTGAGTTGATGCTTTCATCTAATTGACATAACAAAAATTGTAGATAGTGAACAGAAAAAAAATATACAAAATTTTGGGTAATTGATAAAGTTTTGCTGAGTGAACGTGAGCCAGACTTAATAAGAGTGTTAGAGGAGGAAGTGATCTTTTTAAAATTGCATCCCATGAAACGTAGGGTGGGGGGACACCGTTCTGACAGATGTCCGCCGCTATTTCAGTGACTAGAGTTAGACTCGCTGGTCATTTTCAGATACCATTCACTGAAATGGGAGGGAAGACTCTGGTGATGGCCGTCTATGACTTTGACCGCTTCTCTAAACACGACATCATTGGAGAGATTAAGATACCCATGAACACGCTGGACCTTGCAAAACCAATTGAAGAGTGGAGAGATCTCGACAGTGCTGATCAAGAAGAGGTAAGGTCTGCTCTGTCTGTACTCTAGCAATAAACTTACTGTAATTTTTTTACTCCCAATTTTGAATACACAAGTACTGCTCACAAAATGAGACTATTGTAAAAATGTTACATATTTGTTGTGTAACACCAGCAACTGTAACCTTGAGAAGACTGTCAAGCAAATCATGCATTAAATCTAAATAACATATGAGCTCCACTTTCTGAAATAAGTGACAAAAACATTGCAATTTCAGAATATCTTTTCCAGGACATTCTGATTTTTATTTTCAGGGTGGAATTATTACACAGTACACAATGAGTTGCACAAGTTCAAATTTATTGTAGATTTTACATAAGACATATACTTATAGACTAATACTGTATAACATCAACATTAGTGAAATTTCCCTTACCCAGTTACCATCAAACTTCTCCTTCTATTCAGACATCAGTAAGTTTCTGGTATAATTATGGACCACTGCAAATATTTAAGCACTCTTCTTATCAGAAATAGCAAATAGAATTTAAATTGGCTGCCTTCCCGGCAGACATTTAAGCATATTCCATTAATCTTTAGTGGGGTTTAGGTCAGGTTCAGTCCAGATTCCCGTGTTAGTCTGCTTTATCCATTTAGGAATGTACTGCGAGTCATTGACCTGTGGGAACGTGCAACTATGCCCAAGTTTAAATCTTCCAGGTGTTAATTTGTGAAGAAGTTAAACTATTTGGGGATTGTTCCCTTTTATTATTTCCCCCCTATTTTGAGCTGTGTACCAGCATCACTGGGAGCAACATGAAGCTTACATGGTTACCTCACTGTTATAACCTCATTTTGACTCAAAAAGTATTCTTGTTATTGTGGCTAAATCTGTTTCTAAGCTCTTCTTATTTGGTTTGACCAAATAGGAAGCTGCAACATATTTCTTGAAGGTGTTTTCAAAGGACAAGACATGTTTTATTGGGTGACAGCCTCTAATTTCATGCTCACTTCCCTGTCAGACCTTGACACTCTTGTTCCAGTCTATGACATGATGAAGTCTTAATGGAGCTTTAGTTGTTCTTAAACATTTTTGATTAATTTATGGCTATTTGAACTCACAGTTTGGGTCAATTTAACAAAACCTGAGTGTGATATTAGACCAATATTTGAACTTGTATGTCTGGTTTTGAGTTGGTTTTCATTAGAAAAAATGTGAACACAATTCAAAAATAACAGCTCAAAATGCATAACTTAAGATTTATGACTATCATGCTAATTTTGAATGTCTGTAAACTTCTGATGAGGTTCTATGAAGTAGATGGGATTTCCTAGAAATATTACTTGCCATTTTTTTCATAGTTCTTAAACTGTGATTTACTGTTTAGACTTTAAAAAAACAACACAAATTTTCTTCTGTAATTGAGGCAAAATGTCTGTTATGCTACACTGCTCACTGAGTAACTGTGCAGCTTGTTACGCGGAGCTGTCACTGTGGTGCTGCCCTCTATGAAAATATGAGGAAACCAGTTTAATCCAAGAAACTGCTCCCCCAGAAACATCTTAAAATGGAAAATTTTATTCACAGCAATTTCAGGCAAAAGAAGCAAAACCAAACTGCATGTCTTTGAAAGAAAAAAAAATACTTAAGGTCTTTATATGTTGTAAGTGAAGCTCTTTTTCTAATGTATCACTTTATCTCCCTCAACATTCTCCTTTCTTTGCTCCTCCTCACAGCCAGAGAAGCTTGGTGATATTTGCATCTCTTTACGTTATGTCCCGACTGCTGGCAAACTCACCATCTGCATCTTGGAGGCTAAGAACCTAAAGAAAATGGATGTGGGAGGACTATCAGGTGGGCTAGTTTATATAAACACAGCTGTGCAATAGATGTTCAATTTTCTTCACACTTTACCCCATATCACGCCACAGTACAGATTAAAAAGGCCTTCCCCTTGCTCTGAGACTGCAGAATGCTAAAGAACGTGACTTCAAGCCCAGCCATCAATTTTGTGCCTCTCTGCTCACGTGCTGTCGCTGCAGTGCTCACCTATTCTTCACTCTCTTGCATTAGAAGTGGCTCCATCTGTTGGCATAATAGGATACTGCAACCCAGATTTGCATGAGCACAGAGGTTGCTTGACCTCATGTCGTGATTCAGTTCTGTATTTGTTTGTCAGATCCCTACGTGAAAATTAACCTGCTGCAAAATGGAAAGAGGCTGAAGAAAAAGAAGACGACAGTAAAGAAGAATACTTTGAATCCTTACTACAATGAGTCTTTCAGCTTTGAGATTCCTCTTGAGCAAATGCAGGTATGAACATAGAGCATGTTTTATTTATTTTTTTAGTTCTTCTCAGTACTTCACTTAATATTATAGAAAAACGTTCCAGTCTGAAGGAAAAAATGTTGTTCAAGGAGGCTATTTCAGAGTTGAAATATATAGATATTGTTTCATAACTTAACAGTTTCTCCATAACTTTAGATGTGTGGTGTGCTCCTTTGTCTTCACAATGCTGTTTTTGGTGATGCCATAAAAGTTATGACAAGAGAAACTGCTAAACACAAAACTCTGGGATAACAGTGCATCATTTTTTTCCTTCAACAGTACAGAAAATGAAACCACCACAATATTTCCAGTCCTGTTGATCCTATAACCTTCACTATACTCTGAACCAGATTGTAATGCTCTCCATCTGTTTCCCCAGAAAATCCAAGCCGTCATCACAGTGCTAGATTATGACAAGATCGGCAAGAACGATGCCATCGGGAAGATTTGGGTGGGAAGCAAGGCCACGGGGGCTGGGCTGAAACACTGGTCCGACATGCTGGCCAACCCCCGCCGCCCGATTGCCCAGTGGCATCCGCTGCAGCCAGAGGAAGAGGTGGATGCCTCCCTAGCAGCGCTGACTGCCAAGAAGTAAAATAATTAAAAAAAAAAAAAAAAAACCTCCACCCGCCCCCATACTTTCCTACCTTTGCATATCCAGTTGTTTCACTCAAGTCCCACATATCAATGTATATTCCAGAAGAACACCCGAATCTGCTCCCTCCAGCACATTTCTGTCCCACAGCCATCATTGTAAAAGATCCATAGAAACTATTTGATATGATGGGAAATGTAGTTTAAAAAAATCATATTATATTAAGTCATGTCACTAAAAAAAAGAAGACAAGTTGCAGGATGGACAGCTACTCAGTCATTTTTGTTTTAGATCTATTTTTATATCGGAGTTGTGGTTCCATTATTAAGCTTACAGAGTAGACTATAACAGGAGTGTAATTTGGGAATCTGGTGATTTAGAGGGATGACACGTACATTCATTCATATTCTACTTCTCACCCTTTTTCCCTTTAGTGACAAAGTTTGCTTAGAATAGTGCTTAACAATAAAATGCTTTATACTGCCATATGATAGAGAGACAACACAAGCAGGTCCATTCCGTAGGTGTTTTGTGCACCATATCCCACACCTGCCAGTTATCATCCTAGATGATTCTGTTAGTTGGAAGTACATTCCTAGAGTTGGGTAGCAAAGTAGGGATTAGGCCCAGTTACCCACAAACACTGCCTTTTTGGATTAGTTACCCTTCCGCCCATCGTCTCAGGAGAACTGAGAGGAAAACTCCATGCCTTTTTTTTCTAAACGGGTTCTTATTGTTAGCAGTTATACAGCGTGACGAGAAAAGAAAATGTGACACTAAAATTGTAAGAATTCTGCTGACCTTAGGCTTATGACTGAAGTTAGTTAAACCACAATTTATTGAGTTATATGGAGAGTATGACAGATAAATTGCAAAAAAAAAAAGTGTGCTTGTGTATTTTAAATTGTGTTGAAGAAAAAAAAAAAAAAACAACGTCTGTCATCCGTACTACAAAAAAGTTTGGAAATACCAGTGGCTACAAAAAGAGAGACTGATCCCAACCACAGCTGACATTATATTTACAAGGTGTCAATAACTGCCTACAGCCCTCGACGTTCCCCTCCCGACATCCGATTCTGTATATCACTTGTTCAGTGTTACTGCCATTAGTCATGAACTTGACACAAGGGTTTTTACTTCAAAGGAATCCCTATAACCGTCTTACAGTCATAAAGGAGACAAGCCTTCCAAGTAACAAAATAAGCAATTTTCAACTACCAGGGACGCCTTCCAGTTAGAGGTGTTGTTCTCTTCCTTTCCTTTTTTTTGTTCTACTTTTTTTTCTACTTAATAATTGAGTTTACCTTCAAACACTTTTATTCCTTAAGCACTTTAATTGCTAATGTTTTGTGTACATATGCTCAGAAGTCAGAGCTTTAACAATTTAGGGAGATTCATTTTGTTGCTTTTGCTTCTGCTTACTTTGGCCTCAGCCTATATGTGTGTGTGTGTGTTTTGAATTGTTTGAATTACGATTATTTCACTTGATTGCAAAAAGTCTGGAAGAAATCGCACTGATCCTTGTGTATTTTATGCACAGCTTACCAAACTGTCGATTATGAATTGCACTAGCAAGTATTGTTCTGTTATGTGGTTCCTGACACTGTTCTTAGGTGTGTGTTTTTCTTTTCCTGAGAGATATAGTGTGATAAAATTGATCGTTTCTGTGCCACACAGAGACAAGTCTTGTCTTGTGAATGGAAGGGAAAAGAAACACATTGAGTTCAGTGCTGCTTTGTGGTCTCTTCCCGGAATGAAACAATGCAGTATAGAGAGACAAAGTCGGTTCCAGGTAACTGTAACTGATTTTTTTGACTAATTTCGACCCTTTCACACATAATGATAACATTTCTCAAAATGTGGTTCCAGTTAGTCTGCTCAGGTGGGCAACTTTATTTAGACTGAATAATTGATATGTTATCAAATAATTAACTTTATATTCGAACTATAAATGTTTTAAAAAGCTGCTATTGCGCACTTCTGACCACATTTTTGACTGATATTGTTCAAATAATGACACTTAAATGACACAAGAAACGACACTTCAACCAATGCTCTCTGCATATTCCTGTCCAATTCACCTATCACGAAGCTATTTCCTCTTTCAATTTAAAAATGTGTTTCTACAAAAACAACAAAAATATTCACCGTAACAAAAAGGAGAAGAGCATCATTTGTAATCTTATTGATGAAGAAACATATTTACAATTGTTAACAGTTACAAATTTCACTGAGATCATTTGGCTCTTTATATTTGTACGTTTAGATTCTGAGAGAAATTTTTGAGCGAAAACCTCGACTTGTAACTGACAACACACTATTAAAGCTCATCACCCGTGAATAAAGTCAATTAAATGTTAATTAGGTTTTGTGAGCATTTGGAGCCCTCTATACTTTTTCACAAGAAAACTTCCAGCTTTCTCTATAGCAAATACAGGAACAAACACTTTATTGCATTTCTTTGGGGTGAAATTTATGTTCTTTTTTTCTTTTAAAGTATATATATATATATATATATATATATATATATATATATATATATATATATATATATATATATATATATATATATATATATGACAAATTTCCATTTGTTATCTTGCACAATTCTTTGTTTTTAAAGCAACACTAAAGAAAAAGGCAACATGGAAGCAATCAAGCAACTCATTGGTGTGTAGTTTTGCCTATATACATAGTTCATACACGTTGATACTGCATGTTTATAAGAAATAATGTACATAAGAGCATGTTTTAGAGACGAAGCAAAAATAACTTGTGTACGTTAAATGGGTGTCATTTGCCACTTTAATAACACAGCAAACCGAAAAAAAAATGCACTGTATATTTTCTAAATAGAGCAAAGTGTGTATTTATTTTCCATGAGGGTCATTGGAGAGAATGTCATGCAAATATTAGAGTACTATTACAAATAGGAATCTTTCCACGCCTGAAAATTCTTAAGCAAGAGTGTCGTCCAGTGCTGTGTGTGAGTTCATGTAGAAAGAAAAATGTAGCCGCATGCTTGCTATGTAAATTCCTTGTGCTCAGAGTTTTTTTGATTGGCACCATTTATTTGGCATTTATTTAATTATTGTACCTTTTAAAAATATTAGTGATTGTTAATTATGCTACAGTTTCTATTTTTTATTTTTTAATTAGAAAATTGCTATATTTTATTTCAACCAGGGGATCTCCAAGTCTGCAGGACTGTTTCTTACTCTCTCGCTCATTTGGAAAAAACAATGTATTAAATTGATTCTAGGAGTGATTTATGCCAGCACTAATCAAGACTAAAGTCATACAGACCATATCCTACCTTAGGCTGCATTTCCAGGGCCAAACTGTGAATAAGCCTTTTTCCACTGAACACAAATGACTTGGAGTCCTCTTTTTTCCCCCCTTTATTACTGTTGCTATCATTTTTAATTAGAAGATTATTTTTCCTCTTTCTGTTTGACTGACCTGATACATGTTGCAGATTGTGTCTCTTTTACTTGGTTACTATACAATGGGTGTACTTGTAAACAAAATAAATTAATAAGATGAAAACAACTAAAAGCCATAAAACTCAAGCACTAACTCTTTAGAGCTCTGCTGAACAGCTAGAGTTTATTTATGAGGGAACAAAAATCTGACGTCTTCATTTTTCCATGAATAATGTTCCTTCTCGCATTCCTTTTCTAAAATATTTCTTCAACCAGAGGGAGAAAACCATTCTACTGTCTGTGTGAGTGTGGAGAACAGCTGCCAATTTAGGAGAGCAAGTGTTTTTTTTGTTTGTTTTGTTTTGGTTTTTTGGTTGTTGTTTTTTTTTTTTCAGCGGCTGCCATCATCATTACATTGGTGATTTTACAAGGTTGTGTTTAGTCATATTTGGATAGCATAAATAAATAATATTTACAACTTATTATGATATTGAATTCTGAGTAATAAGGATAAAACTATATATGTGAGAGTGTTTCATTTTAGGGCTGAGTGCAATGTGTGATGCAAACTGGGTCAAGCTGCTAGTTTCTGTTCTCCCAGTTTGAGAAAAGATCTCATCCAATCAAATAATAATAATAATAATAATAATAATGAACTTTTGCATTATTTTAGATGCTATTACCAACTGTTTTTGTTCTATTTTTAAACAACTGCTCACCAAGAATGAATGAATTGAAAAATAAACAAAAACAAGAAAAAAACCCTAAGAATTAAGGCTGAATCCCTCCCACAGAACTATGCATATGTCTATTTTTCAGACTTGTATCTACAATACTACAAATTGCTTTCTTGCCCTGAGTTATATATGACAACCTCACACATCTGTGCATCCTGATGTTGGTCATTCAGAAAAGCTAACAGATTCATAAAATGACTTTTGGTGTGTAAAACCATATCCACAAAACAATCAGCAATAAACCTTTATTTTTATTTATTTTTTTTACCTGATACATTAAACATGTTTATTTCAGGAGTTTTAACAGTGAAGGACACAAATTATGTTCAGTCTTTTGCAGTAAAGCCAAATAGATTTAAAACAATAGTCTTACCTCATACTTTTTCAGAGAAAGTAAAAAAGAGGAATGGTAGAGAGGAAAGTAAAAATGTTTGACACTTTAACTGAAACTTAATCTGGAACTTTCAAGGGTTTTGTCCCTTTCACAATAACTAAAGAAAATTGATAAAAAAAGTATAAATTTTTAAGCAGTTATGTTTTTATGTCATATCTGCATTAAACATGTATTAATTTATTTAGAATTATATAGAATTATTCCTTATTTTAAGATCTAAGTGAGAAATAATTGTTTTGGATTGTTTATATTTATGATAATGATACATTTTACACAGGAAACTTTAGAAAATGTTATATTTTAACAGGTTAACAAAATTTTACAGCTGAAGGCAAATTTCACTTTAGAGAGAGAGACAAATGTTGCTCTTTGGATTGGATGTTGCTGATCCCTATTCGAAGTAAAGGTTTGGTGACCAACACCAACAAAGTTCCAAATATTTAGCATTTCATCTAGTTTATGTGAGAAAGTGGCTTCAACTCTCCTTTAACTTTTGGCAAGAAAGCAAAAAAGCCCATATTTTCCAAAATGTTGAAGCTTTTTTTTATTTTTTGTTTGATGCGAGTCGCTGATGTTTCCCAAATTGACCTGCCACATCAATCTTAAATGTGTTGCATAAAATCGATGCTCCACATTCTCTTAACGCAATACAGTAACAATCACTGTTCCATCAATGCCAATGACTGTGACCAAATGATGCACTGAGAGCAGATTTCAGTGTGTTTTAGAAATACTGCCACCATCTGATTACGCCTGCCAACATTGATCTCCACAGTTTAACTCTGGACAGCCAATATAACAGGAGAACTACAATAGGAAAGCACCAAATATATATATATATATAATATATATATATATATATATATATATATATATATATATATATATATATATATATATATATATATATATATATATAAGTTTTTGCAAAGGTACATTTATGATGCAGTCACAAAAGTTTTTGTTTCCTTTTAAAACCTGAATCACCACATACACAAGATCCTCAGATGATATGGTGGACTGAGACTGGTGAGCTGTGATTGTGTTCTTGTGTATGTGGAGTAATAAAATGTCCAAAACATTGCTTAAAATCACAGAGTTAGATTATACTACTCTCAGTACAAGTCTGCATGCATATTGTTATTTTTTTATGTATGAGTAACACGGTAAAAATAAAAGCTTTATGGTTTAAAAATGGCTAGTGATCTGGTTCCCTGATTGCTGAGTGTATGTACTTATGCACAAATGCATCTGCGGTTGCCCTGCTTCAGCTGTGCAAAGACAGTTTTAGAACACTGTTCACACATATGTGATTTGTTTCTGTCTTTTTTTTTTTTTTTTTTTTAACAAACACTGGGATTTAAAAAGGGAAACTGCAAAATTCAGTCCATTTGACAGTCAAAACGTGATGTCGAGACCTGCTTCGGATAAAGGCGCTGCTTTGAAACATGCTGGTTCTCTTGTCAGTTGCTATAATTCTTCTTGCTCTCTTTGTGCATAGGCGTAATCACTTTTGTTAATTTTTTATTCTGTGTATCCCTGGTGTAGAATGTGGAGCTGTGTTTGAAGCGACGACACAGATGTGTCTCCATGCTCTCTCCTCATTTGCTTTCTGTTTGTGTCCTTGTCTGGTTTCTGTGTAGCTGATTCTGTCACTGTCATCGAGGTGAATAGGAGCCTGAATCTGCTTTTGCAGAGCATGAGGAGCACCGGCCTTCATGTTAACAACATGGACATACTGTATACTGCCAAACATGCAGGGCCGTACCAACCTCCCCCCTTGAGCACTCAGTTCTCCACCTCTGTTCCATCATGCAGCTGTTTTCTCGAGACTCATTTGTTTTACCAGCTTCACCTTCTTCTCTTCATCCTCTTTTAAAGCATCGGAGGACAGTCAGGTTATGTCCCCTAGCTGTGTTTCTTCGTGTCTAGTGTTGTGGTGCGCGTGTTCATGTCAGTACTTGTGCCTACTGTGGATCGCATGCTTTAGCCTTTGACTGGACACAAACGTTGCTCACAAACTCCTCTTGACCCTTATGTGGACATATGTTGGGAATCCTTCAGAAGTTATAAAGGGAACCAAATAACTTATTACAAATTTATCTTATGTGTTGCCAGTTCTGTAAAAACAAATAGGAAATAAAGGCCTTTTAATAACCATGAGTTGTATGTGTTTACTATGTAATATATTTTTTTATCTCACAAAAGCACATGATCTTTTGATGTTTTCTTTGGTTACACTATTCCATATCAAGCTTTTAAGCCATTTAAAGTAGAGAAGCAACACAAGCAGAAGCAACACAGCTCCATTTATGTTACCATTAACTCTGACCATCTCCCCCATCAATGTTGAAGAAAACTATACATCCTATCCAATCTGTTCTTAATACATATTCATAGCAGATCCTTTTTTTCTTGTGTGGTGTGTGACAGATATTGTCCGATCAGAAACTGGAAGTGGTTCCTATACAGACATGCTACAACCCAATTGGTTCTTCCCAGTAGTGCGAATGAAGAATGAAAAGTTCCAGCAAGAAAGAACTTTATTCTTAGCCTAGAATAAAAGAACAATCTTCTCTGTTCTTATGGAGTATGTACTTTTCCACATTGGCCTATCATTGAATAAGAAAGAAAAACCCTTTAATGTTATTCAAACAATACATGAAACAGTGAATAATGTGTGTAGTTGTTTAGATATAAAATTCAGACCATTTCTGCCATATTTACTAACCTGAAGATTATTAGTAAATATGACAGACCAAAGTCGAATCTAAATAAGGTGGACCCTTTGTTGAGAGTTAGGGTTAGTAAAATTGTCTGTGTTATGCATAAATGCAGTAAATAAAATGAATGGAAGTCGATAATACAAACCATAAACTGCATAAACTTTTAAAAACACAACTTCAGTCAATATGGCCTTCAGATATATAACACAAGCAAATAGTTTTGCAAGGTTTTTATTTCCTGTGAGGGTCAGTTACAAAACAATCCAATTTATCCTCTGAGTATAAATGTTGTGAATTTCTCTTGCAAACCTGAAACCCCTGCTTTAGACAATCTGGTAACTCACAGTTAAAGATGTGACAATTCTGATTAAAAAATGAAAATTTTAATAAAATTGGAATGAAGCTTCAGATTAAAAAAATAAGCAGTTGCTTTAGCAATTCAGAAACATTTTATTGGGCAATGAGTTTGTTTGGTTTTAGAATGTCATGGTTTTAAAATTCATTTATTATTTCAAACAAGGAGGGCCTCTTCTGCAGCCCAATCAATACAAACAAAAGTGTGTTTCTCCAAAGGATAACATGTGAACACAGAGTACAAATAAAATACATATATTTTTTATATTAATACATTGTAATAAATACATTTAAATCAGTCTTTCATCTTTATTTACAGAAATACCTCCTTAGTCTTTAGTTTTTTCAACATTTTATATGGATAGTAATAAGCACGTCTGATTCATGGGTTTTTATGTATTCTGGTGAAAACAAAATATTTTTGTGACTTGTTTTTTTCTTTGTGATGAAGATATAAATGTAAATAAAACATTTGTAGGCCACTGAACTGTCCTTCATCTGGATGATGCATCAAAAAACATGTGGCTAGAACCTAGCCACAATGTTTTATCTTTCAGGTATTGCTCTTATTTTTGAGAAAAAAAAACACAATTCAATTGGGGAGTAAATATAAAGAATGTATTCTCAAGTCCATTGGTATGTTCCAGTAAATCATCAAATCTTATAGATTATGTAAGCATTATTAAAACCATATGCTGCAAATAGTACTAACAAAAGTGAAGCAACAGTGTGATATCACACAGTATAGGAAAAGTTCAAAGGTATTTCTATGTTTTCAGAGACACTGCAGTCCAAATAGCACACCTGTTCCCTTGTTTGTGGATGTGAAAAGTACTATATGCTATAAATAATATATACTATGTAATATTAGAAAATATTGCAAGGTGAGAAAACTGAAGTGTCTGCTCAACACACCATGTCTATAAGAGCTTCAAAAGTGGCCTATCAATAACTGATAGAGGAGGTAAAACGTGGGACCTTGTGAATAATTAAACTGCTGAATCAAGGTCGGGGCACAAGAACAAGAACTTCAGACATCTTTTCACTTTGACAGTTTGCTGATTACTCGAATGAGAGCTCCGTTCTCATCCTTTAGCCTCTGGTTGTCTGACTTGAGTTCGGTTAGGACCTGCAGAAAGGAAAAGGAAAGGCACAAAATTAGAAAATGCCTCGTTTACCTTGTGCCTATTTGGAAGCTAATATTGGTAGCTACTGAACACGTTTGTGATATAAAGCATCAAGTATTGCAATGGCCAATTTGTCAGTATTTCAAATTCAGTAAGAAACGCTCTAGGAGTATTAACAAGTGTTAACAAGCAAAAGGTTTTACCAAAATCTGAGAATAGATAATGACAGCATACTTAGAAGTTGATCATGCAGTGAGAAGTGAGACAACAGTATGCAGAGAGACGGAGTATGAAATACTCATTAACAAAAGTGAGAAAAGGTCAAGTTTCTAAATCTTAGCCTAATGAGGGACTTTGACTGAAAACATCTACTCTTCAAAATATATTCTCCTTACAGGAGACAAATAATCTATTGATTATGCAACACGACACATATCTGAAATCAGCGAGGGGTTGGGAAGGGCCCCTCTGTCCACCCCAGAGAGTCACGTTCAATTCATAAAAATGCATGTTGTCATTTCCATTTAAGAAATAACTACAAACCCCCCAAAATAAAGACATTCTACACACATGTATATATGTGCATGTACACATATATTTATAAATATATATATAATGAGCTGATCTGTCCAGGGCAACACTACCACTGAACACACCTGTGGAGTTCATGCAAATGTTTTGCCCCTTAAAGCTGGATTCAGTTTTTTTAAATACTTAAATACTTAAACCTTGAATAAATAAAACATTGAATTTTTGAATGATAATTCAATTTCAGTCAGATGATTTGTGATAAAGTAATTTCCCCCTAAAACTAATAACTGGTTGTGTCACAATTGTATTAACTGTCAAAATCTTTGCAGAATTTTGTGGTTCAGTTTCATATTCTGTTTAGGGTCATACTACAACATATCAATTAGACTTGAGTGTAGAATTTGACAAGGGTACCTCGCAACCATATTTTTTTTCCAGTTTTTCTGAGTTGGACTTGCTGGTGTGGTTTGTATCAGTTTCAGTCCTGTAACTGAAGAGCATCTGACCATTAGTCACACACACTGAAGGACAAAAATTTTCTTTCAGATTTATTTGGTGGGGAGAAGAATTTATTTTTCCAAAAGAAAGCTATCTGATACGATTGTTATGTTTGTGTTAATACTTTTGTCTTAATATGCACCAGACAGAATACCTGCCCCAGGACCTTTGGGGAAATATTCTACTTTTAGAAAAGTTCGGCACACTGATTTTTGGCAAATGCGAGGTGACCCTTAGAGTTATTTTTGGGTAAACACAGTGGTTTGGGGCCTGGAACTTTCCCATGGATGTACTTTTTTTCCTCAGTCTCTTTGTTATTGTCGACTCATGAGCACTGACCTCCAATGAGGTAAGTGAGGCCTGCGGTGCTTTAGATGTTGTTCAGGGTTTTTTAGGGACTTGCTGAATGAGTCACTAGTTCTGTCTTGGAACAACAAATCCCTCCTGTGACAGTTCAACACTGCTCCATGTTTATTTGCTTCTTTTGGTTTTCACTGTGGTTTACTGGAGTGTCAAAGACATGTTATTTGACAGCTGCTAGTTAAATTATTTCTTGATTATAGGTCTGGCATCAATTTCCTGGATGTGCCCAGTGAAGCAAAACTCACCTTTCCTAAATATTTGGCTATTAATGGAGTTATTTTATGATCAACCAAGGGGGCAATTATATTTTCATATAAGGTCAGGTTAATTTGGATAGCTTTGTCCCATAATAGATTGCAGGTTCAAGACAAAGTTGTGTCACAACAACAAAAAAAGTCAAAGTGGACTAAAAGAATGCTAACTGTTAAACATCTGCCAAATTTAGATGAATCAATGTGATTAGTAAACTTGTGTGCAGTTCATACAGCAAAATGTCAACTGCACACAGTCAGATAAACTATCTGGTAGAAAAGTAAGAGTACAAATATAACATCCAGTTAAATTTGTATGTTCTCTTTATAAACAATATGCACAAAAATGCTACAGCTTGAACCAAGTTAAGTCTATCTTTGGTTAAGGGTGCTCATGGGTTGTTCCTTCTTGTCAAGCAGACTTGCCCTCAGGAGAAGATTACAGCTTCAAATAATCATTATCATTATCAATCCAGCGACCCACTGATGACTTAATGATAATGAATGAGTGTGTGATATGAAGCTTTCCTATAAATTACAACCTTTTAACCTAAGCTGTAATTTGCCAAAAAAAAGTATGCCCACTACAGTGATGTGCAAAACTAAGGAAAGCCAAATAAAATGCAGTGCTTGTATTGATTAGACTCCCAATCGTAAATATCCTGCAAACATCAACAAATGCTCTTCAAGCTTTCCAGACCAGTTGTATTGGGAGACCAGTTGTGTGCACAAGCAACACAAAGCAAATTTTGTTTTAGTCATTTTAAATTAGTATGAATCTAAATACACTCATGTTAATAACAAATATGGCAGAAAGTTGCCATTTAATGCTATAAAGAAGACTGGGTGAAAAAGAAAGCATGCAAAACAGCAATCATCCAAAGGGGACGGGACCTGCCTGAGGGGAGGACAGCAGAATGAGGGGTGAAAGCTGTGACAGCTTCAGAAGGAAAGAGAAGTGTAAAAGTTAAACAGCGCAGGAAGGAGACAGCAGGGAGGAAATTAGGCCAGACGATTCCAAGGATCAGAGGTCCTCTGTCTCCGGCATGGAGGCTGTTTCAGAGAGGCGAGTGAGGACACGCAGCATGGCTCTGTTTTCAGCCAGGAGACACTCGTTGACTCTCCTCAAAGCCTGGACCTGGGCCAGGGCAGGGAAAGCCTGCATACATGGGGAGAGAGATATAGAAAGGAGCAGGCAGAGAAAGCAGACGGGAAGCAAAAAGCAGAAAGAAACACGAACAGTGGCAGGGTCCCTGTCTACTCATACAAGCACGCATACACGGAGGAAATGAGGTCAGCTCAGCTGCAGAACTTGCTTAAAAAAACTGACAAGAACAAATATTTACACACGAGGGATCATTTGAAAAAAAGTATAGCAAAGCTAAACCATGCAAGAGAAATTATGTACTGTTTCAAACTGACCTTAAATTGCTCAGTGAAATTCAGAAAACTCACTCTCTAGGCCTTTGTACAAGGGCTCAGTGAATAAAACTAATCAGCAGTGTAATGAATCATCTCCCTCTTTATTGTTGGCCTGGTTTCTTGAGGTTAACCTCAATGTGGTTTGAAAGAAATGTCTATGGTTTGACACTAAGCCCGTGGGCAAACCACGCAAGTGAGACAGATGGAGTCAATGGAAATCTACAACACTCACTCTGACAAATTGCTATCGATTTCATCATGTGATCCCCAGACAAGTTACAAAAAAAAAAAAAAAAAAAAAAAAAACCTAGGCCACCCAGAAACAAAATTGTTTGTTTACATTAAAGCCCCGACTACTTCAAATAACACTAAACAGACTCATAAACCTAATTCAAAACAGTCTGGTTTTAGAGCTTAACAGCTCAAGCATATAATGTTCTCCTGGCATTAGAACAAACCATTTCAGCTTTTGGCTAGCTTTCCAAGTCTTTGGCATAACAGGAGGAAAAAGTCAGAGTGAGGTGAGAATATGTAATGACCAGCATCCCTTGTCCATACTGTTAAAATTCAGACCTTTGATACTGAGTAAGCAAGATCAAGACTCTCAGGTTCCCCAGATTCTTCTGATTATGTCAAAAATAATTTAGGTTTTCTGCAAGAATTTAAAGACACAGTGAAGTTTTTGTTTTGTAAAGTAGGAATGATCAGAGTTGAAACTCTTTCACTTTTAGAGCTTAGAACGACCAATAGTGTAACCTTATTCTAAAAAAAAGAACAAAACTAAAGAAGATAGAAATGTGTGGGTCAGTAACGGCAAGGAGCACAGCAGCCTCAGGAATTTGGACACTGACTGGCAACTTATGCTGTTTTATTTATGTTTTAAGCTGCACACACTTGCAGTGCGTGCACACACGTAAGATTTTCCTATACAGAACCTAGACCTCTGCAAGTTTATTTTTATTTCACATTTATTTCTGTTTATTTCAATAATTATAGCTTACAGCTAATGAAAACCAAAAACACAATTCTTCAGATTAGTAATAAAAACGTAACAAAACCAAAAAAATAAAATTTTTTACTACAAAAGTGTGCTTTTATGACCTTCACAGTCATGGGAAAGACTTCTTGTTACAGTCATCCAAGCAGGCTATGCAAGAGGTTAAGCAACAAATCATTATTGTGAAAGAATCTGGGTGTCTATGGAGTACTTTATCTGAGCATAGTGATATGAAATTCAGTAAAAGACAAAACTGTGGTTGTAATGGTACCCGAGCAACAGCTTTGAGTTACAGCTGTTACATTTCTTTATTTATTTATTTTTGAACCAGACAACTCAGTAGTGAACCTCTTTTTAGGTGGAAATAAATTTACCCTGGGACCATGATTTATTTGGAAATCATGGTCCCAGGGTGTGAGGGAAGAAAGGAAATGAATCCAAGCTGCTTCAGGCTCATTGAATAGTATCCACTGCCAATGATCATCCAGGGAGCTTTGTTATGTGCTGCTGCAGGTCTACTGGGTTCTGTCAAGTCAAAACGCAGGGACTACTTCTATCCACACTGCCAAAAGCACCAACACCTGGTTAAATGACCATTATAAAACTTGTCTGACTTTGACATCATAGAGAAGATAAAAAGGACCAAGAGAAGCATGAAAGACACCAGGAGCTAAAAATGCAGATGAGTTAGAAGACATTGTTTCTTTAACACTTCTGCACAAACTGCCATAATCATCAAATTGTACAGAAATACATGCTTAAAGTGATGTTCTGATTTGTTAAGTTGCTCTTCTATGAACAAGTTGGAGATGTTACTTTTTAGGTGCTGCTTATTGAAGCTGAGCAGTTCCCCCTTGTGGTTGGAAGACTTGCAGCTCGCTTCGGTGTGAATAAATAGCTGTGACAGAGGTGCAAACTAGAGTGGCTGACTGAGGTGCTTCAGAGCAAACGTTGTGCCTCTCAAACAGTGAAGTTCTTATACAGTAAGTAAGACAACTTGTCCAAGTGTGTGTGCATGCCCCAATGCTTGGCAAAAGCAGAATGTGTGAGGTGACGGATGGGTTTTGATCACTCATCAACATCAGGGCGAGCACTCACCATACCACCTCCCTGAGAAAGCCCCTTCTCAGGGCTGGTACCCACAGCGGAAGCGCAGTGGGGGTGTCTGCTGAGGGGAACCAGGATGACACTTGGGTAAAACATCAGGTGCTTCCATCTCAGACGGCTCCTTGCTACATTTTTACCATTCTTTGCTCAAATGTGATTTTTCTAATTTCTAGCCATGACTTTAAATATTTATAACAGGAAAGTGATTCAAAGTTTAATAACACATGTATTTGATTTTAAGTAGAAATTCAAATCCTTTGTCTGTGTACACTCAGGCTTGCCGTTGCCTGTGTTTCTGTGTCAGGCAGAGTGCACTCTGGAATGTCTCACAAAAGAAAGTCTTTTGCTGTTGGACGAATTTTGGTATTCGGATGGAACTAGGTCACAATGTTCACCCCAACAGTCGGAGAATTGGAGCAGGAAAGCTGCAACACAAGGCAGAAAGTAGCCCAGCATAACAGTGTGGCTAATGAGCCTGGAGCATTAACCTTCTCCTCCCCTTGACTTCAAACCCACCTGGCCGACCACAGGATCTACAGAGGGCTATCTGTGCATTATGCTCTGGGAAAACTATTTACAAGCAGTCTTTAGATGCAGTGGAAGCAGCTTTGCTTGAGCTGTGTACTGTCAAGGACTGTTAGTTAAGGTTTTTGGCGAAAACATCACACACCATGTATCTGAGACAAAATAATTGCCATATAATCCCAGGGTGGGTGCACAACATTTACTGATGCCAGGACTAACCTTTATTTCCTCCTCCATGTCTGTGACTCTTTTGTCCAGTGCTTGTTTTTCCTGGATGTCATAAAGAAATTAAATACAGGGATGCTGAAGGAGGGGAAGCCATAAAAATATCAGGATGTTCACTCATTTAGTGATATACCATGATGAATTTAAATAGCATGAGTTACTTACCCTTTTCTCCGTTTCAAGAACAGTGGATCGCTCTGACATTCTGTCCTGCCTCTGTAAGTTAGAAAAGCGGTTGTCAAAAGAGAAAGATCCCTAAAGAATTTTGGCTTAATCAATCAGAGTGGTAAGAAAGTCCCATCCAGCGGTATTGTCTATACCGGCGTGTCCTTGCAGAGCTGCAGGATGCCTATTTCTAGAAGTCATTGACTAAGAAGAATGCAGACCCTGCACATGTTGCCAGTTCACCACAGGACAGATAACCATTAAGAAAGTGACCAGTTAGTCTAACAGTCATGACTATGGCATTATTGGGAAATATGTGATGGGACCTTTTTTTCCATTTTCATTTTCCATTTCAATTTTGTTTCCATTTCCTGACGTGTCTTCTCAAATTATTTCAAAACTTGAAATATTGATACCTGAGCAACTTTCTCCAGTTGGGAGCGAATCTTCACCAACTCTTGTTTGCTGTCCTGAAGTCTGGACTTGAGTCTTTCATTTTCTTGCAAAGCTTCTGTGTACATCTACAACAAAAAAGGAAACAGATTACATGTTATTAAACTTTTAATCACTTTTGTATTAAAAACACAAATTCAGCTGAGCAGCTAAAAAAGGGGGAATAAACATAACAAAAGACAGATTAGAAAAAAATAGAACTTTTCAAATCATCTCAAACAGAAAAAAAAAATGCTGCAGTTTTCAAACAATAAAGTTTACAAGTATCTTTACTTCCCTTACCAACCTCCTCTGTATGCATAGTGGCAACATAAACTGGGGTTCTTGTCCACCCTTGTTCATTACAGTTGCAGAGTTGTTTAACGATTTAAAAATTGTTCAAACCTTGTTTCTACAAGTGGACACTGTAATATATCAATTTTGATATATTGAGCACTTTCTATGAAGAGCAACATAGGTCTGACTTGCTTGCACTGGAATGTTTGTAAGTAAGGAAATAAAAATTAGTCATTGAGTGAAATCCAGATGAAATGCCAGAGTGAATGTCTCTGGCATTTAATTAGGGAGGCAAAAATTATATTACTTGTCATTCAAAGTTTATTGCTGAAGCATGACAAAATACAAAAAAAACGCATCTGTAATATACTGTCTTTTAAAAGTACTGTCAGTTTGAGTTCCAGGCCAATTTATGACCCCATTAAACATATATGTTGTATTCTATGTACCTTACATGTGCAAAATATTTTAGAAAATTCACAATAATCACATGCTTTTTCTTAGTATTTCTTTTAGGTCCAATTAGATTTCACAGTGATTTAAAAATGAAGGCCTTGATATAAGGTGTGGGCGGTCAGGCTATGTTCAAAGCACCGGCTTTGAGTCAGTTGAAGGGAAGAAGTGTGTTTGTAACCGAGGCGTGGGTTACTTACTACCTTCTTATAGTCTTTGGCAGTGGAGTCTTGCTCTTGTTTACTCAGAGCCGCCAGCCTCGTCTCTCTCCTTGTGTAAGAACTGGTGCGGCCCATAGGTTTGTCTGTGGCACTTTCTCCAGTGGAATCGTATCTGAAATCAACACAGCTCCATCTCAGTACACAACGGAGCTGTAAGTTATTAAAAGAGCAAAAATTAAAAAAAAAAAATTCTTACCTCGACAGTCTTTCATGCTGGAAAAAATAAAGACATGTCGGTTTGATCAGTCAGAATCACATCATGAGAACAACACAGTGTAAACATTCCTGAAGTGGATCCAGATTTGTTTGTTTGATAGTACTAAACAAAGGGTCAGCAGAGAAATATTTCCCATCGGAGAGAAAAGGAGGACATTAAGGAGGTTTTAGAGTCGAATTATAACTCCATCCTCAGAAGCTCATGGTACCAGAAGGAAATGTGCAGAAGGGACACATAATCCCAAAACTTCTTTAAAATGTTTCACACATGTCATGCCGCCTGAGCCTGGTTGAGCTTTCTAAATTAGGTAACTGCTGCCTCCACAGTGACAGCAGCAGACAGATGACATCATGACATCAGGAGTGAAGTATGACAGACCGCCAACTGACCCTAAACAACTGGCAGATATCAAACTGGCCTGGAAGGTTTGTGCTGTCATGGCTGCCAAGTTCACTGTTGTGACCACATTTGCTTGAGCATGGGGAGAATCTGTGTCAAGTGGCAGATATGTACAGCACCTGGCAAAACCTCATGACTCCTTAACTTCAAATTTAGTGTTTTCCTTTAGAATTGTATGTCAATGATCTACATATAGCAGGACAGAGTTGGGATTTTTATTTTTTTCATCACTTTTACAAAATAACTGGAGCTCAGTCAGATAGGAAGGAGAGTTTGTGAGCAGCAGACCATGTGTAGCCGCCACAGGTTGTAAATTAGATTTGACCATCTTCACAGTCCTTACTGAACAAAACCATCCCCACAGAATGACGCTGCCAATGCAGGTGAAGTTCATAGTTACTGCTGGTTTCTTCCATGCACTTTTTGGATATAGTCTATAAATTTAAATTTTGATCTCTGACCAGAGCACTCTTTTACACATTTCTTTCATCGTCTCAAAAGGAACGTGAAAGGGAGCTTTAATGACTTTGCTTTAATTCTGGTTTTGTTTTGGCCATTTCCATTAAAGCCATTTTTGCTGAATGCAAAACTAATAGTGGTGATGTTGCACTGTGTTTTATCTAGGGATATTAGAGTAAATGTGTCAGAGATCACAATAGTAGCAAAAAATATATATATTGTGAAATTATTTGACTAATAGTTGTGTTTATATATGTCTTTTAACAAATATTTTACACGTCAGTCAGATGTTAACTCATATTTCACAAGGTTACTTTGCTAAAGTATTGCTCCAATCTATGTCAAAGTACCTGTTATCCCAGTTTTCACATTTGCTGAAGCATGAAGATCCTTCGCAAGGAGTCACAGGAGCTGTTCTGCGGCAAGTGTTTACATAACTAAGCCTAACAGCCGCTGCCTGTCCTTATGTGGTCATGTGCTTTTGCACAGTTATCCAGGAAAAGGCAGACTTAAAAGGCCTCAGATGAAAAAGAGCCCAGGAAGAAACTGAGAACACAATTCTACTTTCCTTTTCTCTCTCATCTGTGTAAGAACAGGAAGACTTCTCGATCAGACTTGGCATTCATACATTAATCAACAGAGGTGACTGGATCCCTCGTACTGAGAATATATCATCACAAAATCTTCATGTAGGGTTATGAACCAGACTTCATTCCTGAGGGCGTACTACTATATTTCACATTAAATGATCTGTAAATTGGCTAAATCAATTATCAATTTCCCCAAACTTATGTCCTAAACTAACTTCTAGGAATGTTCAAAAGAGAATTAGCAGCTTATTTTCCCAACTAGACTTTAGATTTCAATAGAATACCTGATAAGGGTTTTCAACTTGGAGTTGAAAATTTTGTTCTCTTAGTGGATTATATTAATCTGAATTATTCAACTAAGAAAATAAATGAATAACAACAGTGATTTCTCTCTTCTTTTATAATATGGAGAAATAAAAACAAAATGTTATTGCAAAATGTTAAAAAAAGTTTTTAAGTGTGGTGGCACTTTGAAACTTTAGCTTTTAGCTATTTATTATAAAAACCATTGCAAACAACTGCCACAACTAACTGGGCATTATTTAGAGACAGGTTCAGCCAAGAAAGTTCAGAACTAAAGAACATCTTAGCTTAGAGAGAATTTACATATCAGCTTTTCAAATTATTTCAAAGCAGACTGTTTTTATTTATCTGATGTCCCCTTTTTTACAGTCTTGTGCAATTTAAAAGAAAAAAATCTTCATAGTTACACAGGTGACACTCCCTGTCACACTATTTCTCATTTGCGTTGTTGTTCATTTGCATAGAAAAATAAGCACTTCTACAAATAATACTCCAGCATCATCTTTCTATGCATCTCATACTGTATACTGTATACTGCAGCACTTTATCACCAGCAAGGATTAGATCTAAAAAGTCATTTTAAATTGAGTAGTCTTTTAATATAGTGATAAACATTGTATCTTCCATTCAGATTTAGTGGATTTCTTTAAATTAAAGATAAGCTCAAACTCAATTTCACAAATGCTTCATGCATTTGATTAAAAAAATCATTGTTGCTGTTTGTGGATGTCAGCCAAATGGTCAACAGCAGGCAGCAGTGCTAACACTTGTTTGTTTGTGCTCATGTTGATCCCTAACTATAGTGCATTAAATTTTACTGAACCTATCGAAACTCTTAGCAATGTATAGCAAGCGCTATAATTATCAATCTATCACTTCCCCTCTGCACTTTCCCTTCCCGCAAAAAGTTCTGCCATTTTAGACAAAGCTGACATCATGGAAAACTAGGGTCTGTGTTTTACCAGGGACAAAGCAGGAAGGAATGACACTTCCATAAAAGAAAGCAGAATCCTCTCGGGAGTCACAACAAGTACTTTTGGCAACCATGCAACAACAAGAACGTCTGCAGCGTTGCATGATGTTCCTGTATACATTTCTAGATAGACAGAATCACATTGTGTCTCTTTTTCCTTCTTCCTACTTTTTTTTAAATGTCTGTGTCACACAGACTCCAGCTGACATAAACACAACAGTTAAACTACGCCCAGGAGAATAGGCCACTTAAAACAGAAAAAAAGCAACAGGAAATTACAGAAGAAATTCTTCAGTCCTACAACCTTTTCCAGAAAACAGGATCAGACTGCTTCAGAATAAAATATTTGCCTCTCTTTCACAGGTTTGATACATAAGCTGTAAAAAGTAGCTGATTATGACATACCATGTTAAGTGCTGATTCACGCCAATGTAATACTAATCCAGTTAATTTCTAGTCACAGGTGAAATTTAAAGCGACTTAGTGTATTAGTACTTAAAGTATGAGAGAGAAATAGATAAAACTACTGATAATGCACTGAAATTAAATCAAGTTAACAAATAAATGTGCAGTAGATTATTGCAAATATCTTGATATTTCCAAGAACGAAAATAACTGAGATGAAAATGTAAAAAAACCCAGAAAAGATTTAATCTAACATGTTTCAAATGAAGAATTTCTTAGAAAGAGAAGCTTACTCTGTAGTTTTTGTCTGTATAGGATGGAGAAGATGGTGGTGAATCTGTCACTGACTTCCTGGTGCGGGTCAGGTCTTTGGTGCGAGGGTAATAGGATGACATCTTCTGCTTCTACCCTTAACAGGCAGGTACACTTCAACTTTAACACTCGCTGAAGGCCGGTCAGTAGATAACAGACACGATGATTCCCTCAGGCAACAGAGCAACAGGAGTCCATGACACTGCTCCAGGAAAATCCTTTGCAACAGGTGTTGGAGAGTGTCTACACGTGGTGTTCCAGTCCACTTTAAAGCTCCGATACGAGCCTGAACGACAGCTACGTTTGGAGAAATTTTCAGATTTCTGGGTTTTTATTTTCTTTACTGGTGATTAGATTAATCAAACAAGCAATCGCTCCAGATGGAAAAAAAAAAAAGGAAAACAGCTATTTAGTCAGGACATCAAGCACAAAATGCTTTCTTGTCTTCTTGTTGAAGACTTTTAGAAAATTCACCAAAAAAAAAAGAATCTTAAAGTAAATAACTGTGCAGTGCTGTCTCTTCCTGGCTTTCCCAAAGTTATACCCATCTCTCTCCCTCTCATGCTTTTTCTTTCCCTTCTCCCTTCTCTCTCTCTGTTTGGCCACCCCCTCGTCTAACCCCAGCCCCCTGCTTCTCCCTGCTCTTTTCAGCTTTGGCAGCTCTCTGTGGCAGTCGGCCAGAGAGGTTCTGGCTGCTGCGGACAAACTCAGCAGTGGGGGCTAAAAATTGTCCACTGATGTGAATGGGGATAAGAGTGTAGGTGGAGCACAAGGCCAGACGCAGGAGGGGGCTGCAGCAGCTTGTGTTCCTCTATAAAGGGTTACCACTACCTGAGGAGCCATCAGCAGCTTGGAGGTGCTGAGTACATGCCTGCTCTGCACATGGAGAGTGGTTGTTGGTTGTCCATGTGTTCCATGATGTTAACACAAAGCAGTCAAAACATGTCTCTTCCTCATAAAATATGCCTAACCAAAGGCCGAAAGCTGTAAAGAAAAAAAACAGCGCTGACTTTATTTTTACAGTTCAGTTTTAAATTCAGCTTGGATGAAACATAAACACTGTTCTGTCTTGGGAACAATAACTTCAATGCATAAATAGTAAGTAATTATGTTTTCTCAAAGATTATTGAAAAAGCGGAGTGCCAAACATTACTTATCTTTCATTAAATAAGATGTTTTTAGTGCTTCTCTCTTAGTTTATTAATCTGATGTACTGGAAAAAGTGGACAAAACTATTTGATACCCTTCTAGATTAGATACATAATTTATCAGACCAGGACTGCTCTATGTCATTTGGCAATTAAAAATATAATCAATCACATTTGTGGTTCCTCAAGGCTTCAGTCTTTGCCCACTTATATCCATGACAGATGCTCTAATTTAGCTCTGGGGACATGTTAATGTCACTATCTTCAGCTCTGTTCCTATATTTTCCTGAAATATGTTTAAATTCTCCTATGACTGGTGCTGTACAAATACAGTTGCTGTCCATGTTTTGCAGTCTTTCCAGGAGTTATGTGGGGCAACATGTGGCGTTCTCATGATTTAGTCAGGAGCTTGTTTATAGTCTAGCTCTGCTTAAAGATTAAAAGCATCGTAGTAAAGCTACAGTTTCCAATCCAACTTTTTCTGACAGAACTATTAGACCTGCACTACAATAAAACTTGGACTAATTCAGTTTCATCTGTTTCAAATAAACAAGTAGCCACTACTATTTTGTTTTAGTTCACACTAAATGGCTGTGTATTTTGATTAGCTTCTCTTTAAAATTGCGATTCAGGTGCTTGAACAGCAGTGCATGTACCTTGCAACTGATTGATATCAAGATTTCTCCTAGTATCACTAATGCTATTAATACCGCTGTAACTTCTAGATAAGACGTGAACCATGGTATTAGGTAGTCTCTATCCACAATTTCTTTGGATTCTCATGTGTAAGCACAACATTTTTCTAGGCCAAGGAAAAACAATTGGTCATCCTAACAGGCATGATTCATTAACTCTAGCAGTCCAGGTTAGTTGGAAAGAGTTCTCCTCTACACTTTAATTAACAAAAACTGTTTGTAAAGAATAAAAAAGAGGCAGGAAGCTGTCTTTGTGCCAAGTACTTTGCAAGAAAGCCAACTGAATGCTTCATAAAATAAAAAGTCTGTGCTGCTTTCTCACTCTTCCCCTATTTTTGATGAATCCATATCACTCCTCCTTTTATAGAGAAGTTCACAGCACCTTGCTCTTACTAAAGTCTCTCAACTTTGCTCAGGGGAATTAGATAAGAATTCCGACATGAAATAAACCATCTGAACAAAAACACAAGCTCAGAACAAGAAAACAGAAAGAAGGAGAGAATTGAGAGACAATAGATTTATGCAAGTTCGTAATTTAACAAAGAACATGTAAAGTGACTTTCAGCTGCAGGATGTTGCAATAGCAGTGCATTCCTCTAGAAGGTGAATCAAAAATGGATTAATTCACCTTTATGTGTCTAAAATGAATGTTCAGAGATATAACTAATTAAACTTTTTATTGATCCGCTATGATACAGTGTCATTTTACATGTGATTTAAAATTCCAAGTTTGCGTTTTAGAAAATAAAATAGCAAAAAGTATCAATATCTTCATCAGTCTTTTTTACTGCGCAATAATAACCTGAAAAAAAGTCATACAAAACATCCAGAAAACAGGGGAAAACAGTGGCTCAGATGAATAGAAAAGGTTAAGTCCATTTAATAATTAGTGAGAGACAAAGTACGTGAAGTTAATTTAAAGATGATAAACTTTGTCTTTAGTCATTTAAATATGTAGCTGCTCTTATTTTATAACAAACAACATAAATGCGACAAAAAAGTTGTTTGTTTTATCAGAGGCCCCTTTAAAATATTCAGGCACCTATGATAAATGCAGTGAACTATTTAATATTTTATAAAATATAATATCTAATATTTCATTAAATATTCTATTAAAATAGAATATTTAGTCAACAAGAATATACTTCATTAACTAAATTGACTGTGAGGCATTGAAATTCACTGGAAGTTGTGCTGGAATCTTGTCTTGAAATTATATTGAATTGTCTCTTGTCTGAAACAGCTTTAGCATATTTTCTTCACTTTATACAACCTTTGAAACTTAGTGATGACAATAAACTGAGCACTGGAGCAAATGTCATAGTGAAGATTGTGCCACCAGCAAGATCAAATTTCTGTTCTGCCTCCAGGACAGAAATGCTACTGACAGTTGTAAATGCTACTGCACTGCAAGAAGCAGCGACAGGCATATTATTGCTGGCTCTGGGCGTGACTATCGAGCAGCAGAAATCTCTTAGCTGCCCTGCACTGTGCTTGACTTTTCCAGAGTTATTAAATCAGTGGAAAATCTGTTCATATCATCAAAGAGTCATGTGGAGGTTGGCTCTGGTAATAGGCAACCTGTCATAGAACCTCACCGCTCTGGATGATTATCACAGACAGATATAGTTCACTTGGTAATGCTCTCATGTTACCAATAGATCTCTGTTTCAGATTCCAGAAGCTGGGACAGCTGAAGTTCGGAGCTGGACTCAGCTCAAACAAAATACACTTCACATTCATGATGCATTGCATACAAGAAACCCATGCTCAATTTCTTTCTTCAAGAAAATACCAATAAGTATGTGCTGTTGAAAAGCACCACCCACGTCACAGGTTCCAATCACGGCCTGATGACCTTTGCCACGTGTTTTTCCCCTCTCTCATTTTCCACTTTCTTGCCTATCTCCTCTCCAATAAAGGCTGCTTTATTAGACTAAAAAAATGCCAGTGCGTAAAATATCAAAACACATAGGTCTTTTTTTTGTTGCTTTACTTAAATGAACTGGACGTAAGAGAGATAATTCAGTGAAGGTTGTTTCAAGTAAAGTAGGCAGGTGGAGAGAAAACAGTATCAGTCAAAAAGTGAAAGATTGAAATAAAGTAAATCCTTCTGAATCCAAAGCTAAGACCAAACAGAGAGCATCTCAGTTTTGCCCAATAAGGTATGAAATGCTGAGATACCTCGGCCATGTGATGTGAAGAAGCAGAGTGACTTAGAGGGAGTGGGAGGCTGGTTCTCCTGCTATGTTTGCCAACAAGATAATAACCAGCTTTTCTAGTTAGATAAATCTCGGAAAACAGGTTATCTAAATTACGAAAATGTTGCATCACAGATCTAAGAAAATTGTAGCTTTGAAGGAGGATGAAACAGAATATTAGAAGAATGATGGTGATAAAATTTGATTTTTTCAGAATACATTTTGTGTGTCTGTGAAAGAGAAAGAAACATATCCTCGAGAGATTATTAGAAATATTATGTGTTGCAATATTTTGATCACTTATGCAATGACAATCTTTAAGTATTGAAGTACTTTTGGATATTGACATAACAAATATATTAAATGGCTGCTAAAAAATTCTGGAAAAAATATCAAGAAAATCAAATGTACTTGGCTCCATCTAGTGGTAAAACAACACTCAACTCATATTTCTCCTGATGAAGGATTTTCACAAACCTCTGTGCCCTCAGCATCATAGCAGAGGTGTCTTTGCTGGAGCTCCGTAGAAAATGTGAGCTGTGCTGCGTCTTCAACTGGATTCTGGTTTTCATCTCTCCACGTTGTTTCACCAACTGCACATAAAAATGTATTCACAGTATTTCATTCAACAAAATTTTGGGCTCTTGTGAATTTTGTTGTTTGTCTTGCATGCTGTGGATTTGTAGTAACATTAACATGTAGGGCATCCCTTTTTGGGCAGTTGAAATTTGTGCTATCTTAAGTATCTATGAGACATGGAAGTCACAATTTAACAAGAATGTGAGCTTAAGGTAAAATCACTGTCGTAACAAGGCTAGGAAGGAAAACCCGATATTCTGCTCTCCTAGGAGGCATACTTGCAGAATCTTCAAAATAAATCCACCTGGGAAGCATCCTTATCTGGTGCCCCAATCAAAAGCAGTACATGTCTTTGCCCCCGATGATGAAGTTCAGTGTCTTATCGCTGAGATTCATCATTCAGGATCCCAAGAACAGTTGGCAAAACGGTGAGGCTCATTTTGGTGTTTTGTATCCAAGATCTTGTGCTTTCATTCATGATCCATATATCTCATGGGCATAGGTGAGGGTCAGAGGGCCAGAATGTAGACAGTCCAATAAATCAAGAATTTAGCTTTTTGGCTGACCTCATTCTTCACCACCACAACAAAAGGTAGGTCACTACTCATATTCTCCTGCATTATACAGGTCTTAGTGACCATAAGGCTTCACATGTAAATTGGAGGGACAGTTTAGAAGCATATTAAGATCTCGTGTCCTTGTATATCAAAGGCGGCTCCACTGTAGAAAACCTCCTTTCCTGCTCACAGCTAATCGAATTAGCCCCATCATTTTCAAAGTCTACTTTGAAAACAAAGGCACAACACAGAACATTCATTACCTGGCAACAATATACAAGATTAAACTATTAGAAAATGCCTCTTAACAAGAAAGCATAATGAGCAGTCTATGAACAGACAGTTAACTTAGTTAAATTTGTTTCAGAAAAATTTAAAATAAAAGTACTGTACACAAACAGGCTCACAATCTAATGCAAATTAGATTAGCTGCAACGTTTATTGAGCCACAAAAATAGGCCATGATTCCATAATCCTAAAACATGGGCAATGCAGCTTGCTGCAATCTTGTGTGTCTTTTTATGTGTGAGCAATGGATAAAAAGCACTGCAAGTGTTCAGCAAGACACTGCTGGACACTGCAAGACGGTATATGCATTTATGTAGAAGAGCATTATATAAATGCATTTTATCTCCCATCACTGAAATACATTGATTTAGTTTTGGAATGTAAAACCTTGAATTTTCCAGTTGTTCCAATCCAAGAGAAAAATTGAGACAAGAACTGTCAATTATTTTAGACACCTGGAGAACAATCCTACTAAAGCAAACCAAAACCAGCCAAGGTAAAGTTATGTCAGTTAATTTATTTACATCTATCCATCATGTAAACCACTTTGCGTTGTTGTTGAAATGTGCTGTGCAGATAAGCTTGCCTTGCCTTAGATTTGAACCACTGAAAAAGGAGAATGTGATATCAGAGAGCTGGAATTCCTCTATAAATCAATTATAAAAACATTAAACCAAAAGTTGAAAGGAACATGAACATTAAGTAGATTAATTTTTTTAATCTAATTAAATCACAAAGTCAAAAATCCAAATTTGAATATATAAAAGACTGAATAAAATACAATCTTAAATTAGTTATAAATATATATCAAATGTTTGCAGTGAAACATTTATGTGACTGATGTGATTTGACTTTAAATTATCTCTTCAATCCTTTTTTCATAATATCAAATACTGTGAAGGATTTAAGACCTATATGACTGTACAGGTTATCACTTTATCACAAGATATTAATGAAGTTTAAAGAAATGATTACAAATGTTGATTCACTCTTCCTTCCTAATATTGGTCATATAATCATATCATTTAATTTTCCATAAATACTTGTGACTCCTTGTATCATGAAAGAACAGCAAAGTATAAAAAATAACTTCAATCATACCTCTGAAGAAGCTATTGCTTTGACCCTGGTATCCAGATGCAGACAGATTTGGCAGGTTTGGAGATTCTGCAACAGAATTCTCAATGTTTCCCTCCTGAATAAATAAGAAAGTAATGTAAAACTTGTTAAGAAACTCCAAATATATTAAATGTACAAATAATTTCTGGTTACCTTGTCTATTTGGGTCCACTTCAGAGTAAACTCAGACGTTTCTTTAGACTCAGTCAGGCCAGTCTGATCTCCTGTGTCATCTGCAAAGCCTCTTCTCAGACACAGCCTGTTTCCTTGAGTGCTTTCTTCTTCTTTCTCTCTGTCTTGATGAGACAGGCTGTAGCTCATCTGAGCCTCTTTCAGGTCTGTGAGAGTCACACCCTGCGGGATATCCACACAGCTTCGTGTCTGTCAGCAGTCAAACACAATTTATTAAAGCCAGAGCTTGTGAAGCACTTATTTTATACCTGTGTTGACCTGCGAGTTTGCCTGGCATGGCGGGACTTTGCTTTTCTCTGCGATTCTGCTTCTTCATCCTTCACAGGAGCCAGATACGACCTGACAAAACCAAGTAGACAGATGTTGAAGAGAAAGTACAACTGTAGATTGTGCAACATTTTCAGTTTCTTGATGTGCAAAATCTGGAAGAGATATATTCTATAAAACAATACTAACATTAGCAAAACTTCTACAAGTGGATTGTTTTGGTCTATCAATGAGGTTTAAGGTGGAGAAAATGTGAAAAAGATCAAGGAGAAAGTATATCTTTTGGCACAGTAACTATTAGAATGCATCTTTGTGCTGAAAAAATAAGTCTTATTTATTTCTTCATTTAGAAATATATAGTTATCTTTGTAAATTCTGCATAAACTGGGAGCTCAGCATTGACAGCAGCTCTTCGAAGATGAGCACATTATGCGCCAATGACTTCACAGACACTAAAAAAGAGCTGAAAAAGCACAAGCTGCGGTTGTGTTTTACCCACTGAGCATTTAGCCACTCCTCTGCTTCACTTTTACAGTTATTGATTGTTCAGTTCCAGAGTCACCAGGAATCTAAGCAGAGATTTCACAAAGCTGTTCATCAGAGAGAGACCAAAGATATTATTTGAAAGACTAAAAATTATATTTCAAATTTTGGAGGAAATACTGCCCATAGTGTGGAAAACTGCTTCCCTTAAGCTTCAAATTTAGAACAAATTAAGAATGTGCAGCCTTAAGCCAACAATTCTTATTTACAAGAAAATACCATCATCAGTGTAATTACAACATTAAGATAATGAACTTGATGACAAAGAGCTCTAAGCCTTTTAAAAGTCTGAAAGTGAAATTGCTTACATAATAACCCAGGAGTAAAACAAAATGACACACTTTTTGAAACGTACCTGGAAACAAAAGCTTGCATGGTTCCTGTAGAAGGTCAGAGACTAAGGCACAGAGATAGTGCAGCAGTGATGAGAGGGAGAGGCTGGAGAAAATGACTCTCTGCACCAGGCTACACAACGGGGAGAGGGATGGGGAGAGAGGCTTCCTGTCTGGATGATGCATACACAATCAATTTATACTTTCTAAGAGCAGCTGATACAAGCAAGTCTACTTCAAAATGAAAGCAGTAGGACAGATCTGCACAGAGAGCCTGCAGGGAATTGGCTAAGGAAAACTAAAAGCAAAAACTAGAAGAATATAAAATATTCTTTGATGCTCACTTGACTTGGAGAAAAATAAAAACATAGCAGTTATACATATACACATATATATATATATATATATATATATATATATATATATATATATATATATATATATATATATATATATATATATAAATAAAATTTAAAAAAATGAAGCTACTAAATGTGGTTTATAACATATTGTGCAGGGGTAGTGTTTGCAGTAGCTTACTCAAATATATGCATTCAATTATATATCTATGGACGGATGCATGGATAGACAATGAACCATATTTAGCAGTAGATATGTATGTCACATACATACACATACCTCCACTTCCAAAATTACCAGTACCTGGGTTAGAACAGATTAAGCTCCAGTAACAATGTTGTCTCTTCAAATGCTGTCAGTTTCTTGTAGCTATGGCTGACTACATCTTCATGCATTTGTTTGAAAGGATTTATTTGGCTAATTAAATCAATATAAGCTTACTATCAATCCGAAGAGAAAACCGGTGGCTCTGTCATAAACAGTGTTTGTGACATTTCCAAACAACTCCAGATTTCAAAACAAATAACTCTAAAATCTGTGTTGAATAAGTATTACCAGCTTTCAGAGGTCTGAAATAAATATTTCCACATTTTTCATAATTAACCAATGTTTGGTGAATCCCCAGAGCTTATTAGCTTGGGAAAATGGACCTCCAAAACCCAAGTCTAAGTGTTAATGTTCAGATGAGGCACTCTTAACTATGTACTAATAATCTAATGTCAATCAGATCAGCATATGAATGTGATAGAAAAGCACTACATTTAGTATACAAAAGGAAAGGAAAGATGGTTTATTTTAACTACAGGGGGACTGACATACATTAACAGAAACCATATCAAAGGAAAACAATACAGATTCAGTAGAAATTCACAAAGTAACATATTCTGACCTTATTAGAGTGTGCAGCAAACAATAACTGACATATGAGGATTCACAGTATCAATAGGCTTTTCCTGATGAGTTCTGAAAAAGTCTGATGTGGCTATACTTCCAATACATATACAGCAAAGGAGATTTGTGACGGCAATCAAAGGAACCATGAAAACCATCGTTTCATATTCCTTTAAATATTATTACCCAGGACATATTTTTAATTAATGTCTGACACTATAAAGATATGGCATAGCAAATTGAAGTGGTTAACCTACTTGATGTAGTGTCACCTTTTTTTCTGCACTGGCCTCATACCAGCTCATTTCTACACCAAAATCTGTTCAAAACCTTCGGCTCTTTTTTTTGTTCAAGTGTGTTTTATGTTAGGCATCATAATGTTGCTATAGATCAGCGATGACCGTATAGCCATCTATGTGCAGAATGATTTGTCCCTGAGCTTCTTCTCTGTGCCATTTAAAGGCTGCATGAAATAGTATTCACTCTGAGCGTAAATCCTCCCATTGTAAACTAAATTATGAGTATGATATTATAAAATACTGATGACGAAATAAGTCGATCTACTTGTTTTTGACCATCTTGAGAATATTAATTTAGCTTGAATTATACATGTACATCTTAGTATTATAAATAATTTCAATGTCAATACTTTACAATCAATTCCACTATTTTATTAGACTAATTTTACTGATATTTTTCAAGTATTTAATCCTGTTAAGTTTGATGGTTGGGAACCCAAATTCAGTTTTAGAAAAAAGAAAGAAAAAAAAAAAAAAAAAAAAAAAAAAAATATATATATATATATATAGATATATATATATATATATATATATATATATATATATATATATTTCTCATTAGCTATGTTTTAATTATAAAACATAGCAGAAATAAATGCTTGCTGTGTATAATGAATTCATATAATAGATGACTCCCACTTTGTCAGTTGAATTACAGAGAGAAAGCCACAAAGTTTTATTGCACTGAAAAAGCCGATGCAGTGGCTTCTTATGTTACTTGGTTAAATCTTTCAGTTTGTGCAGAGGCACGATGGGAAAAGTGGGACTTATGAAGAGTGGATCATTTTCTTTGAAAAGGTGACTCTGTTATGAATTAAGGCTTTTGACATTGTTATAGAGGTAAAGATAAAAAAAAAAAAACAAGAAAAAAAAAACTAAATTTCATCTTTCTGATGTTTTTAGTTTCACTTAAACTCCAGCCCACTGCAGTCTGATTTGGTCGGCCTTCCAAATGTCATCTGTCATCAAACAAAACAAAACAAAAAAAAAACAGCATTTTGTCCTGATGTAGACAGTCTGAAAAAGTTTCCATTCTTCTTGGTGGATTTCTTCAGCATACCAACAAAAAAAAAGGAATTATCAGCCACGCCCTGTAACAAAGATCAGATTACATAAGAAATGAAACAGAAGGGACATGTTCTCAATAGTAGTCTCAGTGTCTGTCTTACCACAAAAATATTCACACCCAAACATTTTCATTATCATTTTAGTCAATTTCAAGTGACAGACCAACACAAAACAAAACAAGGTTTTCAATATTATATTTAAAAAAAAAATTAAAAGGGTGACCTTGCATTTATATTTCCTTCACTCCAATATAGCCAAATCACATCCAATTAAAGTAATTGATTCCAGGGATCATCTATTAAATGAACACTCACTTTTATCCGATTTAATCTCAATAATATTACAGCTGCTCTGTGAAGGTATCAGAGTTCTTTTAGAGGAATCCAGTGAATAAAAAGCATCATTAAGACAAAAGTAAAACATGACATTTTTTAAGGAAAGTCATTAGAAGCCCTGTTTCATGGTGCAGTGCGTAAGTTTTTCCTTTAGCAGGTTCAGGGAAGATGAAAGGAGCCAAATACAAAGGAAAATAAAAACTTCTGTGGTTTAAAAAAAAAAAAGCTGAAATTCTGAATTTCCTTGAGCATTTTTTCTAAAGAGCTAGTACAAAACTTTTTTTTTTAATGTAATAAAATAATGGCATACTTGTAAAAATGTTATTTTGAAAGCCTCATATTTATTTCCTTCCAATTCAACATTCAACCGTACTGTGTTGGTCAGTCACATAAAACAATTAATTTGGACACCTAACATGATAAATATGAACATGTTCAAGGAGTGAATAATATTACATCAGATTTTCAATTCACTGAGTCCAATAAATAAATTTATCAAACATAAAAGTGGTATTCTTACTTGCTTCATTTTTCTAGAAAAGCAAATTCTTCCGAAAACTCGTCTTCTTCTACCTCCTGTGGCTCCTCCTCAGCTGGTAGTTCTTGGTGTTTTTCAGTCATCTCTTTTACTTTGCCATTTTTAATCTCCTCTGTCTCTCCCTCTTGTTTCTCCTCTAGGACTGTCGATTCCTCCTGAACTTTTTCTTCACTATCTGTCTTACTTTCTGACCCAGCAATCAACTCTTCGCGCTCTGTGTCATTTCCCTCCTCTTCAGTAGTGGTTACTTCCATCTCTCTGTCTTTCTGCTCCACAGGAGATGAATGTTGTTCATCTGCTGCTGCATATTCTTCATGTGCATCTTCAGCAGCTGGAAGTGAGTCTTCTGGAGTTTTTTCTGTGTCTTCCTCTCCAGGTGCTGCAGGTACCTCTTCTGTTTCTTCAGTTGTGGGAGCTTCATCTTTCTCAGCAGGTACCTGGTCTTCAGTTTCAGGTTCAGCAGCCTCTTCTACTTGCTCCTCAGATTTGACAACATCTTTCAATTGCTCCTCGATTTTGGTAGCCTCTTGATCTTCAGGTTCGGCAGCTTCCTCTTCTTCCTCACCATGTTCTGCAGCCTCCTCTTCTTTGTCACGTTCTGCAGCCTCCTCTTCTTTGTCACGTTCTGCAGCATCCTCTTCTTCCTCACCATGTTCTGCAGCCTGCTCTTCTTTGTCACGTTCTGCAGCATCTTCTTCTTCCTCATCATGTTCTGCAGCCTCCTCTTCTTCCTCATCATGTTCTGCAGCCTCCTCTTCTTCCTCATCAAGTTTTGTTTCCTCATCTATTTGCTTCTCATCAAGTTCTGAAGACTCTTTTTCTTCTTCAGTTGTGCCAGCTACTTGATCCTCATTTGCTTCAGCTACCCGATCCTCTTCAGCTGCCATAATGTCTTCTTCCTCAGTTTCTGCAGCTGACATTTTCTCCACAGCAGCTTCAGCCACGTCTTCGTCATCATCAGCTGCAACCAATTCTTCTTCATCAGTAACCTCTTCATCCTCTGCCACTGCTTTTTCTTCAGCGTCATCTGCCTCTTTCCTTTCAAGATACTCAGCAGGAGGCTAAGACAAGACAAAAGCAGTGCTACTTCACATGACAAGTCTGTAGAGCAGTAGCACCTAAATACTTGGCCAATAAGATGGGATTGTAGTGACTCAGAAATTATATTTGACTGTAGTTTGAATGTGAAGCCATACCAAGCAATTATTTTACGCAAATTAATGACATAAAAATCTCATTAACGTCTCCCTACAGGCTGAGTACAGAAATAGTAAGGAGACCATGGAAATTGTCTCTGTGTGAGTCAAGTCTGTTCTGGCATAATTCTCAAGGTTAATCTCCTAAAAGCCAACCATTTCTGGAACTGTAAAATTTGCTAAATTGGTAAGCTATGCATGTTTATATGAGCACGAATCTGATTCATCTTCAATTTAAAACAATACTGTGTTTGCTTGTACAGACAAAAGGTACTTGTAAAATGTATTTGGACCTCTTCAGAATATCCATTTTATCTTTTTTTCTTTACAAATGAAGTGTGGTGTGCATTTCTATGTAGCCCTCGAGTCTATTGTTTCCAGAACAATATTTTTCTTCAATTGCAACTTAAGTTCAAAAGTTGCTTCAAAGATTTTATGTGTCCTTACCTTGTCGCAAACTACAAATGGAATCATTTACGGCTTTTGATCAACAAATCTTTCTATTTTTCCATGAAAGCCATATTAAAGAAGAGCATGAGTAAAATGTTTAAAAGCTCTGTTTATTTCTGGCCATTATGCACAACTTAGTGTTGGTCTGTCATCAAAAATTCCAATAGTGCATTGACATTTATGATTGTGAGATGACAAATAGTAAAAGCTCAAGGGATTTGAATATTTTTTTCACGGAACTGCATCAGTGCCAAAAAAGAATAAAAAATGAGAACCACAGAAGCACAAGCATACATTGGCTTGTCAAATGGTTACTTGAGTATTATGTTTCTATGTTCCTAAGATGAGAATCTTGAGAATAGAGGGCAGGCTATATTTATCCACACTAGGATGTACTGTGCTTACCTGCTCCTCTTCACTGGCCGTCAGAGACAGCTGGGACTCTTTACTTTCAAGGAACGCTCTGAAATATCCAAGCATTCCATTATCAGACTTGTTGTCAGTGTTGGTGATAATAGACTACACTTTCTAAAAATGTGTGAATCATAAAATGCCATTTTCCAAAAATGCTCATTTAACAAAAATGTAAAGTAAGGCGAGCAAATCAACTTCAAAACTCTGCTGCACCACAGACATGCTGACAAAGATCAGGGCAGCCTCACAACATGAACACAACACTGGACTAGAGAAATAAGCAAATCATGCACTGTGATAGAAAATAAGGCTTTGACTAAGTCAATAAAATTCTGGGTGAGAGGAAGGAAGCAGATTTCTCAACTTCTCTAAAAGCTGCACTTTTTTTTTCAAAATTTACCTGAGATTAGCCATTTCCACCAGCTGTGCCTGGTGAGTATACAGTTGATTTTTCAGTTTCAAGACTTCACTGGTCTCTCCATCCAATGTAGCAGTCATTGTGGTAATCTGGGCAATCTTTTCTTCCATCTTTGATTCAGCTTCAGCAAAGTTCAAAGACAAGTCCTCAACCTTGTGGGACAGTTCACTGGTCAAAGCAGCCAAACCCGCTATCTGCATCCTGATGTCCTCAATCTCCACGCTCTTCCCCGTCAGCATGCTCTGCAGGTGGCTCAGTTGCTCCAGAGACACGGTGGCTTGCTGCACTTCTGCCAGACGGGTTTTCATCTCAGTGTGCAAGGACAGCACCTGAGCAGGGAGGTCGGACGTCTTCAGCTGCTCAGCCGTAGCCAAGGCCATGCCCACCTGTTTCTGAGTCAGTGCATAAGACTCCTCCAATGAAGCCAGTCGTGTGTTCACGTTCTCTGAAACATGTTGCTGCAATGAACAGAGATGCATAGTCTTAAATAACTAAAACATTAAAAGTTTCATGAACCACAATAGCTAAAAAGAATGCTAAGGAAATGAGAAGAGAGTTGAAAGCAGTTGAAGGTTTTGGAGAGTTGTAAAAAATTTTAGGTCATGAACTGAGATAATGTAAACCCAACTAAGCAAAAAATATATATTTCTAATCAACTCCTTCAGAAGACAAACAAACTTTTGTTTGCAGACTTCAAAACACAGATTTGTTTTAGGATCACAAATTTACGCTATGAGATCCACTCAAAATAAGTTTTAGTTGTGTCCTACTTAATAGATCAGAGCAAAACGGTTCATATTTACTGTTCATGCATGTTAAATTAAGTAATTTATTGTAACTATAAAGGAGCTTAAAACAGCCTTGATCAATAATTTGTTTCACTGCCTGAGACCAAAACAACTCTACAGGTAAACCTGATTTCACATGAAGTCCTGAAACAAAAATAAAATGTCTAAAGAAGGTACTTTAAATTCTGCCTTTGGCATCGTGTGTTGCCATCTAGCATGATCTGCACTATTAGGTCTACCATGTGTACTTCTTCAAGTTTTTCAAAAAGTTCCCCAAATTTTTCAATACAGAATGCCCTTTGAAAATGTTGACTTTTCAAAAGGATTAAAAAGAGCAGCCTTGCTGTAATGTATTCAGCTTACTGTTAGATGAGCTGTTCTTACATTGAATCTACTAGTCACAAAACCAAAATCTAAAAAATTGGTTCATAGAGATCATCTGGGTCATGGTAAAACAAGCTTTGTAATTTCTGAAAACATGGATGAACATATATCTGAAAATGTGTATATCCCCAAGTCTGTTCATACAGAGAAGACTCGCTGAAAAGACTGAGCCTCATGCGTGCAAAGTTTCCACAGAGAGGTCTTTCCTTTGGACTTCTCATAGTACAGAGAAATATAGCCTGCAGCAGCCATGACACAACAGAGCTGGTAGATTCTTACTACCTTATACATATATATGCATATTCTGACATTATTATTTTAGTAATTTTATTTCCCACCTTTCTGATTAGTTGTTACTCACACATTCTGCATAAAAGTTTGCAAACAATGTTGTTTGGTATCAGAAACCCGTCTCTAAATATAGTCTTGGCACTTTGCAATCTTGTTTATGAAGTTTGCGCATCTGCTGCCCTGCTTTAGGTTTGTTCTGTTGAATAATGTAGTAGAATTATTTCCATTGACAATTTTGACAATATAAATTTTTGATAAAGACAAACATCAATAGTTGCGTGTCTGTTGGAAATAGCGTTTTGTGCTCACGCAAACTCCCGGCATTTTGAAACTTGATATAGTCCTACATATTTTAGCTTTCTTCACTGCAACTTAAAGATTGTAAGTGCCCTAAGGGCTGTTCTTCTATTTTCAGAAACATTTATTTTAAACAGCAGCTCATTCATTAAATAGGTCATTATTAAAGGCAAGTTGGATCAAGGAGGGCTCCAGCAGAGACTTTAAGTAGCTATATTAAGTTTTTACCTTTGTATTTGACAGCCTCAGCTCCTCGTGAGAAGACTGCAGTTTGGCTATTTTCACCTGAATGCCCATGACGTTGTCCGTTAGGTCAGTTAAAGTTAGGTGCTGCTGGAAAAAGAACCATGCACCGGCGACCCAGCCGAACACCACGACCGCAGCTAAAACCAGCAGAGGAGTGTGGTTCTTCCCACCAGGGCGAACTTCTGTTTCCAGGAGCTCACTTTTAAAAAAGTTATCCTCTTGTTTGAGGTTGCTTTTCCCCTTTCGGTGCTTGGCTGTCATTCTTCCCCTTTATATCAAGGACACTGTGTTCCAGTCTGGCACAGAGGTGATATCCAAACAGAACTGCGGGTCAAACAGAGACGAGCCGCGGCGGGAGCCCTGATTAACTTCAGACGCTGTGGAAACGGACCGGGGCTAATTGCCGCAGCGGAACCGATAAGCTGCACAGAGGAGTCGCATGAAGAAAAGGAGGCGTGATAGAGCGGTGCGATTTTGCCTGTTCGGAATGAAGAGGGGGGTCGCGAGGCCTGGGAGTGGCTGACCCCCCGCCACGTGCGCTGCTCACCGTGAGTATGGCGCTATTTATGAGCACAACCATGCGAGCTCTATGACCTTTGAAAGTAGACATTTATTCTCTTGAGAATCAATCAATAAATAAATCAAAAATACTGCACAGCTGGAAAAAAATCCATATGATATTTTAATCTTTATTAGTAATAACTGTGAACAGACTGTCTTCTTATTGGTTTGTCATATTTTATTTTGAAGGCCCTTTTTGAAATTTAGTGTAAGTCACAGTATTTGGACTAAAACATGTTTGATTTTGTCCTAAATTACAAGGTTTTTTATTATTTATTTTCAATATAAATTTGGTCAATTAAAATATGAAAGTCTCTTACAGGCTCAAGCAAAATGTCTGTTAGAAATTAGCTGCAGGTTTTGTTGCCATCTGATCTATGGGAATCTGAGCCGTACAGGCTGAAGAGCACAGAGCGGAGAAAGGCTAACATAGGATAACAACTGTGTTCCTATAGACTATGTCTTAGTGAAAGAAGCTAGATTTAGATTTATACCTTTCGATATATCATACTCATGTCATACATCTGCCTTTTAAATGGAGTGGCTGAAATTTTTACCCATCCTCGTGCAACATACCGGATGTTCAATCAGATTAGGAAGACAGTGTGTGGACTTTAATTTTCAATTCAGATTTTTGTTTAGATTTAGATGTGGACTTTGATCTATTAAAAGGTCAGAAGAACTTAAATTAAAGTTCAGGCTTTTTGAATGTTTTACAAAGTTTTCCTTTGGACTAAAAACAAAGAAAAACACAAAAACAAAGTAAAGGCTTTGTTAATGTATTGTTAAAGGTACAAATCTTATTTAAATATTCCTGAGCCATTGTATTTGAAAAATTCAATATAAAAGACAACAGGCAAGACAATAAACATTTATTGATCCACAGAATGTCACAAACTGAAAGCTTTACTATTGAAATGGCTTTATTTCCAAAGCTAGAATTGAATCCACATTATTTCAGTGTATCACATTCATTCTCATCTTCCCATGATATACAAATGACCTTTGAATATCGGTGTCTTCAACTTCTTCACTCTGTATAGAGACAGATAACACCATAATTAACTCACATTTACTAGTTTGAATGTATTGTTGACATGAAAAGTTTACATAATCCTGTTAAAATACTAGGTTTTAATGACTTGAAAAATTTAAACCAAAATAAATTTTAGAACCTTTTTACCCTCAATGTGACACATTTCCTGTACAACCCATTTGAAAAAAACAATCTAAAACTGTTTAAAGGAAAAAATAGAAACTTTAAATAAAATGGTTGCACAAGTATGCCAACCTTCTTATAACTACGAGTAAAATTGTGTTAAAAAAGTTACCACCATATTTAAGTTTATGCTCGGTAGGAGTGAGTCAAGAACCTGCCATCATTGGGCTATGAGAAGAGGTGGTAAGACGGAAGTGTATTCTGAAAGATGAACAATCAATTTTGCTGAAACAAATTTGTATATTCTCAAATACAAGGTTTTAGCACTTCAGAAGCCTGAAGTGCTAAAACTTCAGGCTTCTGATAGAAAGTTGCCAGTCTTGACCTGAATACAACAATAGGTCTGTGGGGCAAACTGAAGAGAGCTGTTAATAGGAAAATATGTCCTTAGTTTTTTTTTTTTTTTTTTAGCAATTTTACAACCCCTCACAGGAAATATTTCAGCTTGTTCGTCAATGTAGATTATAGCTCCAAAAAAGGGAAAGATTTGGGAAGGACATCAGAATCACCTAGCATGCTAATGTGTGTAATTTTTTACAAGAAATGCAAGTTCAGCCATGCTTCAGTCTTACCTCTGACACTGAGCACTGTGGAGCATTCAGCTCGTCCTAAGCTGTTTTCAGCAACGACTTTATACTCTCCTATGTCTTTCAGACCGACATGAAGTATCAGCAAGGAGCAGACACCACATGTGTTGGAGATGTAGTAGTTGGTATCTGTGTTTATGCTGACGTGGTTTCGATACCACGTGACTCGAGCTGCAGGGTCTCCCTTCACTGCACAGCTCATACAACACTCATAGCCTACTGTTGCAGTTTGAGGCTTCAAAGGTACAATGAAAGCTGGAGCACATCGCAGATCACAGTCCTTTTTGGTTGGTTCGGTTATCACCATTTTTTCTGCAGGAGATTAGAGATAGAGTTAGTGTGTTTTTCGTAAAGTTAACTCATTTGAATCAGAAGATTTAAAAATAACACACCTTTCTTCTTTTCCATCCCCCAGGTAGGGGATTCTGATGGTGCTGATATTCCCATGTCATTTTTGGCATACACTCGAAAATGGTATTCCCTCCCTTGCATAATGTTGCAAACTGTGAACCTGTTATTGAAGAGTCTATCAGCCACTGTGGTCCATGTGTGCTTGGCAGATTCCAGTTTAGCCACTGAATAGTGGAGACGATCATCACGCTTCTCATCAGGAGAAGGTTGCCAGATCACAGTCACAGTCCCAGGAACACTTTCTTCCAGTTCCACTGGTCCAGGAGGCTTTGGATCATCTGGAAACAGAGTTTTCCTTATATAACCGAAGTCATACACATAAGCCAAAACTCACAGAAAATACAGTTTTACCTGTTACCCTAACCTCCGTACTGAAAGTTTCCTGTCCAACAATGTTTTTCACCAAGACAGAGTAGATGCCCGAATCTGAGCGCTCAGAGGTGGGAATCAGCAGCTGAGATGAGCTGTCAGAGTTACTGATTGTAACACGCTTCATCACCGGCACGTTGTCTTTTAACCATCTAATTTCTGGCCAAGGGGAAGCCTGTTTATAAGAAAACATGATTATACAGAGCTTTCAAAAAGTGTTGATACTTTTGAACCTTCTCTGATTTTATCATGTTACAAGGATAGACTTTATTTTATAGGAGTTTTATGTGCTAGATCAACACAACAAAGTAGAGCATGAGAAAAATCAATAAAGTGCCATGCATTTGCAATTAGACTGTGTACAATCTGTACAATGTGAAGACTAAGGAACACAAGAGGCAGGTGCAAAGTTTTGTGAAGTTTGAGTAGAATTAGGTAAAAACAATATCCTGAGCTTGAGTGTTGGATAATTTTTCAGTTCGTCATTCAATGAACAATATTGCACAAGTGTACACCTACCAAGATATGGCCATACACTTAAACTGACAAGCTATCATCTATCAGAAGTATACCACATAACACAGCTACAAATGAAGACATTACTACAAAGTGTTTTCTTTACAAATTTTTTAAACTTTACATTATTTTTTCTTTGTCAAAATTGAGAACAATTATACTTTTCCTTGATCTATTACAGAAAATCCTCATTAAATACATTGAAGTTTAGAGTTGTAAGATAACAAAATGTGAAAATGATTCAGGGATGTGAATACTTTTACAAGGTACAATTTGTTATAAGCGAGCATGCTAATTATAAAAAAATATGTATATTTTTGCTCAGACTCAGATCAGTCACTTGAGTCAAACTTACCTCAAAGTTAACCCTTATCCTGACAGAGTTCCCTGCCCTCACAACCATGAAACTCTTCATCTTGTTGTTTGTGAACCTTGGTCTCACTTTATTGAGAACAACAAAATCAATTTCAGTTTATATTTAGAATAAACAGAATAAGCAAAAATTAAAAGCATCAGAAGAGCTGAAATCATGTACTGTAAATTATTGCTTTTTGTTGACATACCAGGCAAAGGCATTGCAAGAATATAGTTTGGCAGCTCCTCAGGTGTGCCTTCTCCTCCATCATTTATAGCAATGACTCTCACCCAATACATATCCATAGGCTTAAGGCCTTTCACATTAAAGGAAGTCATGATAATGGGGCTGCTGTTACAGCGGCACCACTCTGTGCAATCTGCCTGGCGGATCTCCACAAAATATCCTTTTGCTTCGTCCTGTATGCCTGGTTTGTCTTCAGGTTTTGTCCAAGTCACAACCATGTTGGTGTACGATGTTTCTGTCACCTTCAGGCCTGTTACTTTACCTGGAAGCTCTAGACAAATATAGGATTAATATGATTGTATTTTCAATGCATGCACATTCTTTATCGTATTCAGTTCTTTAATAATTTTTTCTGATACTTACTTTTAGGATCCCTTGCAAAAACAAACTCTGATGCATTACTAAATTCACCAGCTCCTGAGAGGTTGATGGCACAAACTCTGAACTCATATTCCATACCTTCCACAACATCTGTCACAGCATACTTTTTCTCTAGAAGTCATTTTAAAGCAAACAAAAATGAAATAATAAAACAGACATACTCATTTGCAGACACTCATACCATTTCCAGATGCTGTAAATAAATATATAAGAATACCTTTTATTATTTCATCTGGTGCATTAACGCAAGTCCAAAGATTACTTCCCTGCTTGCGCTTCTCTAAAATATATCCCAGAAGACGTGACCCTCCAGTGCTAGATGGGGAAGACCATGAAAGGTTGATGCAGTCATTGAATGCACTGACTACCTTGGGAGGTGCTGGAGGGCCTGGAAAAGCTGAAGTGTTCAGAAACAAAACATAAATCACGTGAAGCTAAAGCTTTACTTAGATGCAACTAAGGCTCGTTTCTTATTACTGCTGAAATTCTTTTCAGATTTTAGCACATTTCACAAACATCACCAACATTGTTTTGACTTGCCAAATTTTCCAGCTTGCATTTCATCTGTCTCCATCACTTCGCTCTTTCCCTCTGAAGTTACAGCCCAGATGCGGTAACAGTACTTTCTCCCACGGTCCACATCTGTGTCACGATACATGGGCACACCTGGTATTTCACCTATTTTCTTCCAGGTGTTTCGTCCCACTTGCTGACGCTCCAATATGTAGTTAGTCACTGGTGATCCGCCATCATCCTTTGGGGGACGCCACTTGAATTCAACGCATAAGGCTGAACTCTCAGTAACCTCTGCAGGCCCCAGGGGTGGGGATGGCT